TATCACACCTGGCCTTTCCTTTAAAAAGAGATTTATTGTTGCTGGGAGTTGGTGGTGCACGCCTTTAATCCCAGCACTCAGGAGGCAGAGGTAGGCGGATCTCTGAGTTCGAGGCCAGCCTGGTCTCCAGAGTGAGTGCCAGGATAGGCTCCAAAGTTACACAGAGAAACCCTGTCTCAAAAAACGAGGAGGGGGGGTACATGTTAGTGTGGGCACTTTGAGTGTACTTGGTGCCTGAGAAAGCTAAAAGAGTAGATCATATCCCCCGAAACTCGAGTTAGAGAGGATTGTAAGCCACCATGTGGGGGCTGAGAATTGAACTTGGGACCCCTAAAAGAACAGCAAGCACTCTTAACTGGTGAGCTATCTCCCCAGCCTCTACACCCCCCTTTCCCCCTCTCCCTTTCCTGTCTTATTCTTTCCTTGTGAATTTGTTGTCTTAAAGGGGCTTTGGTTTAGAGCTCTGGTTCTCAACCTTGCTAATGTTGAGATGCTTTAATACAGTTCCCATGTTGTGGTGACCTCAGCCATAAAATTATTTCATTATTACTTGATAACTGTAATTTTGCTACTGTAATGAATGGTAATGTAAATATCTAATATGCAGGACATCTGATAAGCAACCCCCAAATGAGTTGCAACTCACAGGTTGAGAACTACTAGTTTAGCTTGAAAATATGACTGGAGGTAGTTAAGTGTGAGTTTCCAGAATTAGGAGCTGGAAATGACAGCAAAGACATGTAAAGCCAAGTTTTCCATGGGACAATTATGAACAAATTTCAGAACTTGCAAAATGATTAAATCTGGGTGTTTGTGAACATGTTATTTTTCATCTTTGGCTTTGTGACTTACCCAAAGTAGGCTTGAAAAAGACAATTTGTGTAAATAGTTAAAGCTTTCTAAAGGGTACTTAGTATATAATACTTACCAGCTATTTTCCACTGATCATAAAGTAAAAGCAGGAACAAAACAACAACAACAAAAACAGAAGAAGCTGGGTGTAACAGTACATACCTTGCTATATCAGCGCTCAGGCCTGCCTGTTTTGTTTTTGTTTTTTTGTTGTTTTAATCAGATCTGAGGCTGTAACTCAGCAGGAGGATCAGAAGTTGAAGGCTTCCTCTGTTAGATAGTATGCTCTAGGCCAGTCTGGACTCACAGGATGTACACTCGTGTTCTCTCTCTCTCTCTCTCTCTCTCTCTCTCTCTCTCTCTCTCTCTCTCTCTCTCAAAAAAAAAAATTAAAATTAAATGGGTCTGAAGGACATGGCTCAGTAAAGTTAAGAGTACATACTGCTCTTGCGACAATCACAGTTCAGTTCCACGGCCTCTGATACCTATGGCTTCTACGGGCAGAGGAGCACATACCTGCACATACAGACGTGTAAAACAATAAATAAATTCTCTAAAAATAATAAGTTATTGCCAGGCGTTGGTGGCACACTCCTTTAATCCCAGCACTCAGGAGGCAGAGGCAGGCAGATCTGTGCGAGTTTGAGGCCAGCCTGGTCTCCAGAGCGAGTGCCAGGATAGGCTCCAAAGCTACACAGAGAAACCCTGTCTCGAAAAACCAAAAAAAAAAAAAAAAAAAGTTATTTCTTTTATATACTTGATTTCTTCATTTTTATGCTAGTAACTTCCAGTTATAAACTGAAGTGTTCTTTTATTTCCAAACTTCTGAATTGAACTACCTACTAGGAACATATATTGGTTTAGAGTCAGCACAAAACTTATTGTCCTGCAGGTGGAGTGGTGTACACTTTCAATCCTAGCACTCAGGAGGCAGAGACAGATGGATTTCTGTGAGTTCCAGACCAGCCTGGTCTACAGAGTAAGTCCCAGGACAGCCAAAGCTACATAGTGAGACCCTGTCTCCAAAAACCAAAACATTAATGTCCAAGTTTCCTCTCCTCAAATATACTCTACCACTAGTGTTCTCTATCCTGGTCAGTAACCCATTCCACTTTGGTGTGCATCCTCACCCCCCGTCGTCTTATCAACAACCAGATCCTCTGCATCCTAATTTTAGTGTCTTGTTTGTTTGTTTTTGTTTTTTTGAAGCAGCGTTTCTCTGTGTAGCTTTGGAGCCTGTCCTGGAACTAGCTCTTGTAGACCAGGCTGGTCTCGAACTCACAGAGTTCGTATGCTACCACTGCCCGGCTCTTAAGTTTCTTAAATCCACTCTCTCATTCCATTCTTACTGCTTTTTCAGGAAATATTGTATGTCACAACAGGAAAACTCACACATAACCATTTTGCATCACAGTCTCATCATTTCCCCATCAAAAACAGTGATCTCTTCTTTTCCTTTCTTTTATATTTCCTCCCACCCTCTCCCCAAGTAATTTTTAGAGTAATTTATTAATATAGATAGATAGATAGATAGATAGATAGATAGATAGATAGATAGATAGATAGATACAGATAGATAGATATAGATATACTTGCATGCATGTATGTGTGTGCATTGCATGCCTGGTGTTCATGGAGTTTAGAAGAGGTTGTCAGATGCTCTGGAAGTACAGTTTCAGATGCAATCATGTCGTTGCTGGAACCAAACCCTGGTTAACAACAATTGCTGTTGTTAACTGTCTTAACTGCAGAGACAGCTTTCCAGCTCCTATTTATTTTTATTGTATGTATATAGGTTTTGCTTGTGTGTATGTTTGTGGACCACATGTGTGTTTTATGCCTGTGAAGCCAAAAAAGTGCATCGGATTCCCTGGAACTGGAGTTAAAGACAGTTGTAAGTCACCATGTGGGTTCTGGGAATTCAAACCCAGGTCCTCTGGAAAAGCAGCTGTGTTCTTAACCTCTAAGCCATCTCTCTAGTTCCTGTCTTTGATTTTCATAGCTTTCCTTCTAGGTGATTTTTAATGTCACTCATTTACTTGTGTTGAAAAACAAGGCCTTGAAGGGTGAAATTATTTGCTAAATTTTATGTAGGTCGTAAGTAACAAGGATGCATCAAACTAGCCCTTTCACTCTGCATATCTTTATTACTGTTTGAAACTAGGAATTAACAGTAATGGTGCTGGTTTATGGGCAGTGGATTAAACAAGGAGTGAGTAATGTGGTCTGTGAACTGTGTTCCTGAGGCAGATTTTATCCACTAGCTAAGTTTTCAGGAGGTGAAGCATGGAGCTCAGTGTTTTGGAGTTGGGCTGACGCGTCTTTGTTACCCTGGCCAAGTGCTTGAATGTTAAAACTCATCTATTTGACTGCTAAGCCCTCTAGCCTTTGGCACCCTTGCTGTAAAGACAGGTGGTCTGAGAAAAAATGCCCTCCAGATTGATGCACACTATACATAACATAACAGTGCGAGACAACTGTCAGTTCCTTCCTACTCTTCTCCCTCACCCCCTCCAGAAAGCTGGGCCCCAGATGGAAGAGCTGGAAATGCGTCAACTGTTCTCTGAAGGGCATTGAGAAAACACTGGCAGGAAGAAAAAGGCAAGCGCAACAGCTCATTAGCCCACTAATCAGATAGGACGACCATCATTTTCACAAAGAAAGCATCCTGACCAGGGACAGCAAGAGTGTGAAATTTTAGCCTCATGGTTTACAGAATACTGTAGGTTTTGTTAGGGGGTTTGTAACATGGGTGCTTGACTTCCTTGACACTTTTTATTCATATATCCCTCTCTGAAATAGAGCCACTGCAAAATGGAACATAAAATAGTATTTGGGGACATCTTTCCTATCACAAAGTGTGGTGAATATGCTAAGATGTGCCTTGTGGTTTATATGAACATGCTGGAATATGCCATCTTTATAACTGATCCTACAAGAAAGCTTTGATTCTACCTTCTCATTTAAACCTTTTTTGTGGTCTTTGTACTTGAAATCAAAATCAGTTGCTACTACAGTATTTAAGTTAAAAAAAAAAAAAAAACAACCCATACAATAGGAATTAGTGAGAGGCATATAGTTCAGTTTAAAGGTGAGCCTGTTAGCCAGGTACTAATAGGTTCTCTTTTGTGAGAAATAATTTATTTTAAATATTTTTTGAGTCATGGTTTTGCCACATTTGATCCAGAATGTTTTATAGCTAGAGTGTGGCTTTGAGCTTCTGATCTTCCTGTTTCTACCACCCTGGTGCTGGGATTACAGCCACTGTGCCAGGTTTTATTTATTTATAATTTTTAGATTTTTCTTATGTGTGTGTTTTGCCTCCATGTATGAGAGGCCAGAAGAAGCTATGAGATTGCTTAGAGCTGGTGTTAGAGCTGGTTGTGAGCTAGGAACTGGACCTCTGTCTTCTTCAACCTCTGAGCTGTTTCTCCGCCCCTCTTACATTTTTTTCATGTGCATTGGTATTTTGCTTGCATTTGTGTTTGGGGGGTGGTGTCGTATCCTCTGGAACTGGAGTTATAGATAGTTGTGAGCTGCCATGTGGTTGCTGGGAATTGAACCCAAGCTCTCTGGAAGAGTAGCCAGTGCTCTTAACTGCTGAGCCATCTCTCCAGCCTCCCTCTCCCCAATCTTAAAAGGTCCTTTCCAAGCCCTGCAAGGTGTTTACTGCCAAGCCTGAAAACCTGAATTTGATCACCCGGACCAACATGATAGAAGGAGAAAACTGACTCAGGCAAGTTTATCTTCTGACTGCCACACACATATCATAGTGTGGCGTATGTGGGCATGCGCGCACGCGTGCACGCGCACGCACACACGCGCGCGCGCGCGCACACACACACACACACACACACACACACACACACACACACACACACACACACACACACACCAAATCAATAAATATGTAATTAGATTTTTAAAAGGTCCTTTCCCCAAATAAAGTAGTATTGCCGAGCTAGATGTTAGGACATGAACATATCTCCAGGCAGCTAATGTTTTACCCTTTGTTGTAAGTATCATCTTAATCTCTGAGTCCTCTAGGAAAATAGGTTCAGTTCCGATTGCTGTTGCTATTTATTATTTATAGAGAGCTTTGACCTCCTTTATTTTATTTTATTTTATTTTATTTTTATTCTTTGCAGTTGGTTGTGAGAAAAGGGTGCCAGCAATGCCTGGATCGCCTGTGGAAGTGAAGATACAGTCAAGATCCTCACCTCCCATCATGCCACCCCTCCCACCAATAAATCCTGGAGGACCGAGGCCAGTGTCCTTTACTCCTACAGCATGTGAGACCTTTAAATTGAATTCCTGATTCAGGGTCATAATGTAGATTTGAGTAACTGGCTTACATTAAACCTTCAATATACATCATTCAACATGACTAAAATATAAATAAGGGTATAGTGATGCATTCCTATAATCTCAGCCTGTAATCCCAGGACTCAGAGGATCAAGAGCTCTAGGTCACCCTTTGGTGTGACACATGCCTTTAATCCCGGCATGTGAGAGGCAGAAACAAGTGGCTCTCAGTGATTTTTGAGGCCAGTCTGATCTATATAGTGAGTTCCAGGCCAGCTGAGCTACTTAGTGAGGGGGCTATTTCAATATGACTCCCAACAATATATAAAGATTGGCATGGTTTTTATTTCTTTGTGACAGAGTCTCACTCACTATGGAGCTGGATATATTATAATTTGAAGAGTGTGAAAATAGATCACACAATTTAATTTTAAAAGGCTGTAAAAGTTTATCTGTATTGTCCGGTGGCTGCAAGCATAGTAATATTCTGGTTTTTTTGTGGGGTGCTTCAAAGAGGGCAGCTCTGATCAGGATAGATCTTTCTGTGGAAACAAAGATGAAAGATGGTTGCAGCTAATTTTCTAGATTGGTGAAATTAAGTGTTGAGCTATTTTTTCTGGGAGGTTTTAGTAATCTCTTTGACTGGAAGATAGAATTACCCTCCCTTCTTCCTCAGCCCATTAGTTTTTTTATGAATTCAACACCATTTTCCTGAAAACCTACTGCCTGTTAGGGGATGATGAACAAAGCAAGAGAATATAGATGAGATAGCTCAGCAGGTGAAGGTGCCTGTTACCAAGACTGACAACCTGAGTTTGCTCCTCAGGAACCATGTGGTAGGAGGAGAGAACCAGCTCCTGTGAGTTATCTTCTGACCTCCACATTCACTGACATACACACACTTGAGTTCACATGCACACCAAATAAATGCATTGGTGGTTTACAAAAATCTAGTAATGTTTATGTGTTAAGGTAATATCCTTTGAGCAGTCTCACCTGGTGTGGTGACATACACTTGAAATGCTTGAGGGAAAAGGGAAGTAGAAGTCTGAGGCAGAAAGAACTCTAGTTCAAGGTCTGTCTCAGAAAGCAAAAACCAAACAGAAAGAAGACCAGTCTAGCAAGTAATTGCATAGGTACAAAGAAAAGAAGTAAAATAGTGGTTGTGTGTGTGCACATTTCTGGAACTCATTCTGTAGACCAGACTGGCCTCAAACTCAGAGATCTACCTTCCTCTGCCCCTGAGTTTTGGGATTAAAGGTATACACAACTACACCCAGCACAAATTTATTAAATCCATTAGGGTTTACCTTGAAGAAGGCGTAGAGGTGGAGAAGGGAAGTATAACTGAGTGTATGCTGGTCTTCATACTCATGAATGGCGGTTTTATTAGCTAAGTAGTGGTTAAAAGATTGTTGTTTTAAAACAGAGCTAATGTCTTGACTTTAATTATTTTCTGTACTTTGTTGCTTGCTTGCTTGATTTTTGTTTGTTTTGGTGTGTGGTCTCATGTAGCTCAGAGTGGTCTTGAACTCTTTACAATCCAGCATGATCTTGAACTCTTGATGTTTCTGCCTCCACTTTCCAAGTGCCAGTGAGATCATGGGAATAGGCCCCCATGCCCCACTTTGTTTTTTTAAGATAGGATCTAACTCTGTAGCTCAGACTGGCTTCCAAACTAGAATCCTCTTAACTTGTCTCCTGAGTGCTGGTGGCATCACTGGTGTGAGCCCACTACACCTGCCGTATTTGTTTATTTGATAACCCTCCCCTCTGGACAGGGTCTCACTTTGTAACCCTGACTATCACGGAATTCACTATGTAGACTAGCCTGGCATCTAACTCAACAGATATGTGCCACCATGCTGGCCCTTAACTTGATTAGATTTTTAAGCATGGATATGATTAGGTCAAATCGGATTGAAACTTAGGTGCTAGGTAATCTTGTTTTACTATTCAGTCACAGAGGAGACTTCTTTTTATATGTATAGGTGTTTTGCTTGAGTGAATGTTTGTACACACTTGCATGCCCTCAGATCCCCTGCAACTGGAGTTACATACAGTAGTAAGCAGCTGAGTGTGTGCTGGTTACCACACCTGAGTCCTCTGGAAGAGCAGCCAGTGCTTTTAACCCCTGAGTCACCTCTCCAGCTCTCATAGGAGAATTTTTTCCTTAATGCCACTGAGAATGTGGCTTTAGAAACAAAGTATATAAGCCAGGTGGTGGCAGCGTATGCCTTTGATCTTAGCACTTGGTAGGTAGAGGCAGGTGGATCTCCATGGTCTGAGGCCAGCCTGGTCTACAGAGCTACACAGAGAAATCCTGTCTCATAAAAACCAAATGTGTGTGTGTGTGTGTGGTCCAGTCCTGAGGTTTCCTACATTAAAACTACCAAGAAGTAACTACTGATAATAGCAAAAAAACAGAAATACTGATTGTTTTATCATCATTTGTTCAAAAATAAAGGATGGGAGGTCCTTTATGGAGTTTAAATAGTGCCCTTTCCCCCTTTTCTTCTTTTGGGTATATGGGGTCTTGATACACCGATGCACTGGTTTCAACTTTTTGGGCCTAAGTCACTCTTCTGCCTTAACCTCTAGAATAGCTAAGATCACTCTAGTTTTAGAAGGTATTTTTCTGAATGATCAAGACTTTTGCATTATTTGTCGATCTGTGTCAAGATAAGAGGAAAGCTACTCTAAAGGACATTAGTATTTTGAATGGCCAAAGAGAGACATTTTGATGCAGAATTAGGTCATAAAGATAGACCCTTAAAATATCTTTGACGTTAGTATAATTCTGTTTTTCTGGTATTTCTCACATACTAACTTGTGACTGATTGCTTGGCTTCATTGAGATTTTCAGAAGGATATTTGTAAAATGAACAGAAAGCTTGATGTGTGGTGGGTCACACCTATATTAATAGTATTCTGGAGGCCAATGCAGGAGTATCGTAGCAAGTTCAAGGCTACTGTGCAAGACCCTATCTAAAAAGGAAAGAAGGAAGGAAAGAAAGAAAGGGGTCTCTGAGAAAGATGACTCAGGAGTTAAGGGCACTTTTTAGTCTTGCAGAGGACAGGAGTTTGTTTTCCAGCACTCACATGGCAGCTAACAACTGTCTGTTAACTCCAGTTACAAGATCTGTCTTCTGATCCCCATGGGCATCAGGCATACAAGTGGTACATAGACATACATGCAGGCAAGACATTCATTCACACAAAAATTAGATTTTTTTTTTAAAGATTTTATTTATTTATTATGTATACAACATTCTGCTTCCATGTATATCTGCCCACCAGAAGAGGGCACCAGATCTCATAATGGATGGTTGTGGGCCACCATGTGGTTGCTGGGAATTGAACTCAGGACCTCTGGAAGAGCAGCCGGTGCTCTTAACCTCTGAGCCATCTCTCCAGCCCCCAAAAAATTAAGATCTTAAAGGGAAAAAAAAAATAAAAATATGAGTTTCAGTTAGTCTCCAACTCACCTTAAGCACCATGGTGTCTATAGTTAAATGTTCCTTCTGTACCTTTTTTTTTCCCCCCAGAAGGGGCTCACAGTAGCCAGGTGTTCTAGAACTCAATATCCTCCCTCACCCAAATGCTGGGATTATGTGTGGGCATCACTGTAGCTTGCTTTTTCCTATTCATAGTGCTCCACGTTGATTGTGTGTGTTGTGTCTGCTTGTTTACTTTGTAAATAATGTTCTTATTTAGTCCTTAAGAATTTCCTTCAATATATTTTTGGTCATATTCAACTCCCTCCCCAATTCCTCTCAGATCCCCCCCAGCTATTCAACTTTATCTCCTCCCACCCCATCTCTCTCTTTCTCTCTTGTTTCACACTGTTCTCTTTTTCCCTTTCCCTCCCCCTTCCAGTCCAGTTTGTGATGACTGACTACTTCTGGGTGTGGGACCTCCCTGGAGTGTGGTTTGGATACACTAGGTATTCCTACATTGAGGAAAACTAACTGTCAGCAAGAAAACTAACAGCAAGAATCATATGTTGCCAGGCATGGTGGCTAATGCCTTTAAATCCCAGCAATCAGGAGACAGAGGCAGGGGATCTCTATGAGTTCTAGGCCAGTCTCATCTACAAATTGAGTTCCAGGACATCTAGGGCTGCTGTTACACAGAGAAACCCTGTCTGAAAAAATAACCAAAACACACAACAACAACAACAAAAACCACAACCAACACACACACACACACACACACACACACACACACACACACACACACAGAATCAAATGCCAATAGCTACTTGGTGGTGGTGGGACTTTGTGCCCATCTCTCCTCTCTTCTATGCTTAAATTTTGTCTGGCTTGAACCTGTGCTTGCATTCACAATCTCTATAAGTCAATATGTGCATCTACCTTACTATATGTGAGAAACAGTTTCCTTGAAGACATCCACCATCTCTGGATTTTATAGTCTTTCTCTTAGATCCCTAAGTCATGAGGGGAGGAGTATAATAATAATAGACACCATGTTTAGGGTTGAGTATTCTGAAGTCTTTTTCTCTGCATGTTGACCAGTGTTGGGTTTCTGTGGCTATCTGCTACATGAAGAAGCTTCTCTGATGAATGTTGAGTGATGCATTTATCTATGCATATGGAAATAAATCATTAGTAATTTTATTGCTATGCCCATTTAACAAATAACAGCAGGTTTTCTCTTAGGTCTCATGACCTGTCTAGCCATAGTTTCTGGCCCCATTGACAATATCACATACAGGTTCTGTCTTATGGAGCAGGCCTGAAGTCCATTCAAAAAGTGTTGGGTTACTCCTATGATATTTATGCCAAGCAGGTCTTTATTGTAGCTCACAAGAGTTCTGGGTTCAAGGTTGATGACTTATTTTTTTTTTCCTCCAGTAGCATGCATAGCACCCTTTTAGTACTCTGAACACTAGCCAGTAGAGATGAAGCTTCTGGTTAAGTATAAGCTAGATTTTCCCATATTTGATGACTCTTGATTGGTGTCTCCATCAGTAGAGTATTACAGACAAGTTCTGGAGGGTAACAAATAGCATTGGCAAAGCCTTTAATGTTTGGGCTTGGGGTGGTCTCTGTAACTCCATTATCCAACAGCTCAAAAAGAGGTTACCCAGTTTTCTTTGGTAGTGGCAGCTATGTAGTTGGGGTCTTGTTCCCCCATCATAGAGCATCTCTCTCTCTCTCTCTCTCTCTCTCTGTGTGTGTGTGTGTGTGTGTGTGTGTGTGTGTGTGTGTGTGTGTCTTCTAAAATAGTTTGTGTGACCTTTTCAAAATGCCCTTAATGTTAGTTATCCTTCCCATGTTCCTTCTCTACCCTCTCTTCCCATTTCCCACCCCACTTATGTACTTAGCACTTATTTACTTGCTTGCTTTAAATGGAATGTCACTGGGTCACTAAGGCTAGCCTCTTATTCCTGGGTATATAAGATCTTTCCATTGCAGCCCCCCCACCCAGTAGCCATAACTACAACACAAGCACATATCACCATACTTAGATTTTAATACCTGTACAATATTCTGTTGCCATTTTTCCTGATAGTTTGTCTTAGTATGCAGCAGTCTCTCTCTCTCTTTCTTTCTTCCTTCCTTCCTTCCTTCCTTCCTTCCTTCCTTCCTTCCTTCCTTCCTTTCTTTCTTTCTTTTTAGATAGTTTCTCTGTGTAACTTTTGAAGCCTGTCCTGGAACTTGTTCTGTAGATCTGGTTGGCCTCCAACTCACAAAGATCCACCTGCCTCTGCCTCCCAAGTGCTGGGATTAAAGGCATGTGCCACCACTGCCTAGCTGGTACACAGCAATCTCATTGAGGGTGGAAATGAGTGTGAGTGTGTGTGTGTGTGTGTGTGTGTGTGTGTGTGTGTGTGTGTGTGTGTGTGTGTGTGTGTATCCAGAGAGAAAGTGAGACAGACAGACAGACAGACAGACAGACAGACAGACAGACACACACACAAACACAAACACACACACACACACACACATAAATAAATGCTTTACAGAATTCAAAAGAGTAGTGAAAGAGACTATATGTATAAGTCAATAAAGACTCTTACATTCTATACTGAGTCTTCTGATTCTGGCTTTCTTTTAGTAAGCAATGGCATCAACCATTCCCCTCCTACCCTGAATGGCGCCCCATCACCACCACAGAGATTCAGCAATGGTCCTGCCTCTTCTACATCATCTGCACTAACAAATCAACAGTTGCCAGCTACTTGTGGTGCTCGGCAGCTCAGCAAGTTGAAACGCTTTCTCACTACTCTGCAACAGTTTGGAAATGACATCTCACCTGAGATTGGAGAGAAGGTTCGGACTCTTGTTCTAGCACTGGTGGTAAGTATGGCTTCACCTTCGCCAGCTGCCTAAGAAGTTGTGATATATTCCTGTTCATTCCCAAACCATGTAGATATTCTGGACTACACTAGTTGTTTCACAATTTTTTTTTAAAACTGTCAAATTATAGATTTCATAGCAGTATTTATTTGTCAAAGAATCTATAATGTGTCTTATTATCTAAGGTGCGGATTTAATTCCAGTGAGCGGCTTTGGATTTGTCTTAAACAGCTTTCAGCAGGCCTGCTGAAGTCCAACCGAGTTAATAGAAGGTTGTTTGTATGTCAACATAATTTAGTAACTAGTGCAAACCAGTTTTAATTTTCAAAACAATATTTTGTAAAATTAGAAGTTTAATGGTCTAAATAAGTAGTTTCTATACAGTTATGTTGTTCAGCTCCATGTGCATAGTTTTAGTTTTTCTTTCTATACTAATCATACTGAGCCTGCTTATAAAGGATTAACTTTCTATGTTGCCATCTGGGTGAGATTGAGTCTTCTCAATTTATGAGGGAAGTGCTGCCAGTTGTCAGTGTTTCCAGATGAAATACTGTAAGATTCACTCCTGGTGAAAGCATTGTATTCTTTCCCACATGTTAATTTATGTTTATGATGAGAAGCTGAGTTATTGTAGTAGTCCTTACAGTTGCATTTTCTCTCAAAATATAATTTAGGAAAATCCCTGGGGTTCTCCAGTATACTGGATGGCAGGGTATGGAACACACTTGGTGGAGTGCTTTTCTAGTGTCCACAGCCCTGGGTACAGTCCCAGTATTCTGAATATCTATGCAGAAAGACTAGACGTTCAAAATTATCCTGAGTTTTACATAGTTTCAGTCTAGCAAGTCAGTGTATAAGATACTGTCTCTTAACCAAATACTTAAAAGAAATCTCCTGTAGGTCAGTGGTCTTGAACTCTGTGTAGTCTAGGACCTCAAACTCTTGATCGCCTGCCCCTGCCTCATTAGTGTAAAGATTTTAGGCATGAACTACCATTATTTTGTTCTACTGCTTTATTGTACCACAGTTTATACATTTTTGCTTCTGATAACATTTGAATTGTTTGCATTTGGGGCATTGTGTCAGGAGTCCCTAATACTGCCGTGCATTTGTAGATTGGTTTACCCTTTCCAGATTTGACATATGGTGGTGCTCACAGCTAACATCTATTCCAGAAAAGTCATAAAAATACACAGGCAGATTGTAAAGGAGATACACATGGGCAGAGTCTGGAGGAGTCTGTGTGCTGGCCTCCTTAATGTTCTCCCCATTTCATGATTACACAGAACACACTTTCCCCAAAACAAAGAAAATGTGTGCAGTGCTTCTGCCCAAAGAGTCCTGTAAAGATGCTGATTGTTGCTGGATCTTGTTGACCATCTATGTCTATCTTCTCCTATATGGAATCCAATGCTTTAGCATAACCAGAAACAGTAACAGTGAGCCCTTTCTACTACTTGGAGAAAGTGTGAGGTTTTTTTTTCTGTGCATTTATTTATTTAGAGCAAATCTACTTATTAGTCAAAATTTAAACTATGATAGGTTAGCATTATTAAATTGAGACTAAGTTAGCTTTTTTTTTCAAGACAGGGTTTATCTGTGGCTTTGGAGCCTATCCTGGAACTAGCTCTTGTAGACCAGGCTGGTCTTGAACTCACAGAGATCCACCTGCCTCTGCCTCTCGAGTGCTGGGATTAAAGGCATGAGTCACCAACGCCCGGCCCAAGTTAGCTTTTTGTTAAGCTTATTTTTTGTTGTATGAGTGTTTTGCTTGTATATATGTATGGACACCATGTGTGTGCAGTCTCAGAGGATGCCAGAAAGCATGTGTGTTGGGTCCTTTGGAACTGCAGTTACAGACCATTGTAAGGTGCCATATGGGCACTAGGAATTGAATTCAGGTCCTCTGGAAGAGCAGCCAGTACTCATAACATTGAGCCATCTCTTCAGCTCCAAGATGTATTTATTTTTATTTTATATGTGTGGGTGTTTCACCTGCATGCGTGTTTGTGCACCACAGTGTGTAGTGCTCAAAGAACCAGAAGTGTTGTATCCTCAGGATCTCTTGCTTGTGTTTAGTTTGTCTTCCTCAGCCCAGAGCCTTACCAGCTCTCACTTGCTCTGGTGCTGTGTCTATGGCGCTTAGCGGTTGTGAGAGCCCGTTTTATCACTTTTCGGTTTATAGTGCAGTATGTTGTCATTGTTATGCCATCGCTGTCACCATTACTACCACTGCCATTCATCATCAGAACTATTTTTATCTATTTGGTTTTTCTAGATTATGTTTCATGTAGCCCCAGCTAAATTCACTGTGTAGCTGAAGACGATTTATTTATTTATTTGTTTGTTTGTTTGTTTGTTTGTTTGTTTATGGCTTTTCAGGACAGGGTTTCTCTATGTAACAGCCCTTGCTGTCCTGGAACTCACTCTGTAGACCCAGGCTGGCCTCAAACTCACTGAGATCCGCCTGCTTCTGCCTCCCAAGTGCTGGGATTAAAGACCACCACCGTCCCACTGAAGATGACTTTTAAATATTTATTTTTCTGCCTCTACCTTTCCAGTACTGGAATTATTATCATGTGCCACCATGTTCAGCTTATGTATTACCTAGGGGTCATATTCAGGTCTTCATGTATGCCAGGCAAACACTGTGCTGACAAAGCTACACCCCAGACCTTTACATGATTCAACAATGATGTAACGAGTGTGATTGTTTTGTTTTTGTTTTAAGTCAATGTTTATCTGTGTAACAGTCCTGGTTGTCCTAGAACTCAATTTGTAGACCAGGCTGGCCTTGAACTCACAGAGATCCCCTGCCTCTGAGTGCTGAGATTAAAGGTACCACTCCAGGTTGAAAATAAATGTTTTTAAAGGATAAGGCATATTCTATTATCTGTGTGTACATTTAGTTTACCCATTTGTCCTGTATGAGGAACACTGGGTTGTTGCTCCTGCCTTTTCAGTTAGGGAAATTTTTATATCATTTTACAAGTTTTGCTATCCACATTCTCAGATCAGCTAATAGTCCACACTTTCGTGAAGGCCTGGCTTTTCTTTTCCCTTTTCTTTCTATATATTTTTTATTGTTTTAATTTTTATTTAGTGTATGCATGGTGTGTTCCAGGGTTCTGGTGCCCTCTTCTGGCCTCCACAGGCACCAAACATGTTACATGTACATACATGTAGTCAAAACTCATACACATTAAAGAACAATAAATCTTTTTTGGTTTACACTGTATCAGTGTGAGTTTCATGAGATGTTAACAGTGAAGATGAGAGAAACGGCCCATTGCATGTAACCTTTCTAAGTTTTTAAGTTTTTTTTTTTTTTTAAAGCTTAAAAACGTTACAATTTTATGTGAATGAGTGCTTTGCCTCCTTGTAGGTCTGTGTACATGTCAAACCAGTATGCTTAACTGCTTAGCCATCTCTCCATCCCTTCTAATTTGTTTTTGCAACTTTGTTAGACTAATTTATCTCAAAGAATGTAAAGCTATGTATAGTTTTGTCAATAACTCCATCACTCAGTAAGCTGTTCTAGACCAGCCTTAGTGCCATAGAAAAAGCCTATCCCACCAAACAAAGTGTGGGGGACTATCTCTGTCCTTGTACTTTAATCTTCTAAGTCCATTATAGATGTTCCCCTGAGACTAAATCTACCAATATCCTACCCTTTGAATTTTCTGTCTCCCAAAAATAACCATTTCTGAGCCTTTAAAAAAATTATTACATGCAGAGCCTGATGTAGTAATGTATACCTTTAATCTTTGCACTCTGGAGGCAGAGTCAGATGGATCTCTTGAGTTTAACCCAGACAATGCTACATAGTGAGGCCGTCTCAAAAATCAAAACAAACAGATAAAAGAATTACATCTATCTAATGTAAGTGTGTGTGTTACACTCATGCCACTGTAAATGCATGGAAGTTAGAGGACAACTGCAGGAGATGGAACTCTGATTTACCCATTGAGTCATCTTACTATTAAAAATAAAAATAAACTTTCTAGTATGCTTTCCTGCTGGACTGTGCATTCTTTAGAGAGGGAGAAAAACTAAGCTAAACAAGAATTAAATAGTTAAGCTCTTTGTGATTTAACAGTTGACTGAAGACAGTCTGGTATGGCAACTCATTTCTCTGAGATCCAGTCTGCCCTATTTTGTCTAAACATGCAGCAGCCTTGGGTCTGTTCCTGTGGCATGAGTCATTTATTCTGTGCTACAAATCTGTATTATCACTTTGTCCATCCATAGGGAAATTTTAGATCATTCTTTTGGTCTTTCCATATATGTAATCTATTTTGCTGCTGTGCCCAGTTTTGGATGTTGAACATTATTTGTCTTTTCAGAATTCAACAGTGACAATTGAAGAGTTCCATTGCAAGCTCCAAGAGGCTACAAACTTTCCTCTTCGTCCATTTGTGATTCCATTTCTCAAGGTAATTCTGAGAGGCATTCATTGTAATTTATCAACAGCATCTCCTCAAAATCTGCTGGTCCCTGCTCTGTGTGATCTCAGGGCCTCTTACTGTAGTTCACTGTCTTTGTTGTATTTGGGGCTAGTAGGTAAACAGTATCTACATCAGCCTCAAACATGATGAGAATTGCAGTGCTTTGAGTGATTTCTGTTTGCAAGCACTATAATCAGCATACAGGAGCAAGTGAAGGAATAAAGAGGGAAGAAAATGAAGAAATCCCACTAAGTCTTTGGAGTGTGGTCTGAAGATGAAAAATATGTGTTATCTGAGTGGAGAACCTTTGCAAAGAGAGGCTTATGCAGTTGTGTCAGGATGGTGTGAGAAGGCAGTGCTTGTTTTTCCTCAAACCCCAGATAATGCAGTCTAATTAATGTCCTCTAGAATTATTGTTTCTAAATTATGGTTCTAAATTACCATCTTACTTTCTTAAAAGTGTTTTCATTTTGAAGTAATTTCATGCTCGTAGATGAGCTGTAAGAGGGTACAGTAAGCTTTCCTTATGGTCTCAAACCAGTTTTCCAAACAGTAGCACTTCATAATCATTTCCTATCTTTCTTCTGAAAAACAACCCCCCCCCCCCCATGGGGGTTCTCTGTAGCTTTGGAGGCTGTCCTGGAACTCGCTTTATAGACCAGGCTGGCCTCGAACTCACAGAGATCCGCCTTCCTCTGCTTCCCCGGTGCTGGGATCAAAACCTTGTGCCACCAACGCCCAGCTTCTTCTGAATTTTTTAAAAAAGAAGCTGTAGATGTGATACATCTAAATTTCCAAATCTAGAATTTTCTTTTCTTGCTACTAGGGATCCAACTTTGGGCTTGAAGTATGCCAAACAAGTGCTCTTTCAAGGAGTTGTGTCCAGAGTCCTTAAATCAAGACGTTAACATTTACATAACACTTGGTGTTTAATGTACAGACCTTATTTATGTTTTACTAGTCTCCCAATAATCTTCTTTATACAAAATTAAGCCTTTATGTGTGTGTGGTTTAATAAATTAATGTATGAGGGCCTTCCTTCCCATAATCATTCAAGACTAAAGACTGAGGAAAATTCTAAAATCTTCAACCTGTGGCTTACTAGATGATTGAGCACAAATTCAGTTAACTGATGGCTGAGAGGTGAGATACAGGGAGAGAGCTAGAGAGAATGCTTGCATAAAGGGTTTTGAAGGAGTCAGGATTGGCCTGGGATTGGCATCTGTCCCTGTCTATGACTCGCTGTGTCTCTATGTCTTCATTGTCCAGGACTCAGTCACATGGTATCACCTAATTACAGCAGAGGATAGAAAATCTAGGCTAGATGCTAGGAGAAAAGAGCTTGTTACATGGCTCATCAGTTTCTGCTGCAGATGCTATTGAGGGCTGTTTCTTTTCCTCTTGTCTACTGGTCTTCTCTCACACAACTGAGGTAGGTATGGGGAGGCCCTTAAGACCTCCCACTGTGGAAATACCTTCTTGTGCATCCCACTGGTCTAGTCTGTGCCTTTGCTCTTGCTTTTTCTACTCTGCTAATATATGTAGTATCTGAAAAGGGCTTGAGGGACAAGTAGTCACTGATAAGGAGCATAACGAAAAAATGTGACATGGCACCAAAACACACAAATTGGGGGTTCTTGTCTGCCCAGAGCACCAGTCCTATCATGATAGGTAGTTCCTGCACTTGATGCCCTGAAAGAGTAGAGCTTTTGTGTGAAATACTTGGTACTAAATGCTTCTTTCTGACATCTCAGAAATGGAGAGAGAAATACATTCAGAAAGACTTGTTTTGTTTTGTTTTGTTTTTGTGTTTTGTTTTTTAGAACATGGTTTCACTGTGTATCCCAGGCTGTCCTAGAACTCACTCTGTAGCCCAGGCTGGCCTTGAACTCACAGAGATCCACCCTCCTCTGCCTTCCGAGTGCTAGGATTAAAGGTGTGTGCCACCATGGCTCTGCTTCTTTAGTGACTGTGGGGCACAAGGTCTGGGTCTATATTTAATCATGGTCCCTCATGGCATGTAGTATTAATTTGTAACAGTTTCTCAACTTTTAATGAGTATTATAGCTTTGAATAATTTTATTTTTAATCATGTGTATGAGTGTCTGGTATATATGTACATGTGATTGTTGGGTGCCTGTGGAGGCCAGAGGAGGGTGTTGGATCCCCTGGACTAGGTGCTGGGAATTTAACTTGAGTCCTCATCAAGAACAGTGTTCTTTAAGTGTGAGCCATCTTTCCAGCCACAAGAGTGTCATGATTTAGAGGATGCTGATTGTAAAGAAGCTCAGCTTGCGTTGTTCTGGAACTTTCTCTCTTTGAAGCTTAAAGTCATTTGATATATTTTAGTTAAGAATTGCAGGTAAGCTGGGCAGTGGTGGTGCACACCTTTAATCCCAGCACTGGGGAGGCAGAGTCAGGCGGATTTCTGTGAGTTTGAATCCAGTCTGGTCTATAAGAGCTAGTTCCAGGACAGCCTCCAAAGCCACAGAGAAGCCCTGTCTCGAAAAACAAAAAAGAAGTGCAGGTAGTTTAGGGTATGGTGTTACATGCCTATAATCCTGGCATCCAAGAGGCGCAGGGGCAGGAGTACTGCCCCTCCTAGTTCAAGGCCAACCTGGTCTATGTAGCAAATTCCTGGCTAACTAATAGTACATAGCAAGATCATCTAAAAAAACAAAAACAAAAAAAAATCAACAACAACAAAAACAAACCAAAAAGACAATATATTTGTATAAATAATTATCATAACTTTAAAAAAGGGAAAAAAAGAAAATTGCAGGAAGTGGTAACCCTGCAGGGTGGCCCAGGACATAGGCAGTGATTGGTTCCATCATAGATAATGTCTTTTCTCCCCCTTAACAATTTAGCAAAACTGATTTTCTGCCTTGACTTTTTTCTATAAAATTAATATCTCCTCTGATTAAATGATTGTTTTCCCACATGGCATGCTAACACAAGACTGCAGTCCTAGTAATTGAGAGGCTTCAGGTAGAAGGATCACAAATAGTAGATCAGTCTGGGCTAAAGAGGTCCTTTCTCAGAAAAAAACAAAAAACAAAACAACAACAACAACAAAAAAAAACAACAGAAAAGTACTACTAGGACCTGGAATTTAGCTCAGTGATAGAAAACCTACCTGTCATACACAAGGCCCTGAGTAAATTACTACCAGTTTAAAACAATTAATAGTAAAGATTACTTTCCCATATGGGAACTGTTAGCACATGCCTTTAGTTCCAGCACTCTGGAGACAGAGAGGCAGGTGAATCTTTGTGAGTTCAAGGCCAGCCTGGTCTACAGAGTGACCAGGACAGTTCCAGAACAGCCAGGGCTGCACAAAGAAACCTGTCCTGAAAAACAAAACAACAGCAAAAAGATTATTTTTTCCCTAATAGGTAACATGAACATGTATCAGATATTTCATTGAGTTGATGAAGGCATCTGTGAGACTTCACAGTCATTATTGCTTAATAAATAATATTCATAGGTCACAATTAATATTTTTTAAAATATTTTTAATGGTGTGTGTGTGTGTGTGTGTGTGTGTGTGTGTGTGTGTAAATATGCACTTGAGTGCAGGTGCTGTCCAGATACCAGAAGCAGTGTTCTGTGTTGTGGAACTGGAGTTTCAGGCACTTTGGCAATCTGACCCTGTTCCCCTGTAATAACAGCAAATACCTTTAGCTGTGGAGCCATCTCTCTAGCTCCACAGTTCACAGTTACAGATAATGACTGTGTAAACACAGAACTCATTCTAATAAGTGGCACTTTCCAGAAACAATTCATGTGAAATATAACAGTTGTTTTACTTCTGTCAGCTATTTTTAAGTCACTCACAGAATAGCTCAAAAGAAATGAAAGATTAGAATTTTGTTGTCAACTAGTTTGAACAAATCTAGCATACCATTTGGTTTTGTAACACTGAGAATGCTGTATACAGATAAACATTTGCAGTTGACTTAATGCTGAGGAATACCCACTTGAAATTTAATTAAACTAAATATTACCCCCTTCTCCCTGAAAAAAACCTTACTGTTACTTTCATTAGTAGATTTGTACTACAAAATTTACTATGTTCAATTAACATATTTTGGATTTTATTTTTCCACCTATGAGATAAATCCTTACAATTAATTCTTGGTGGCTGAAAGTACTGTATGACCTTTGTCAGCCCTGGAGTAGCTATGCTGCTTGGACCCTGGTTGTCTTTGTCTTGTCTTGTCTTGTCTGGGCTTTTTTTTTTTTTTTTTTTTTTTTTTTTGTTTTTTTTTTTTTTTTTTTTTTTTTTTGTTGTTTTATATTGCACAGGGTTTTAGCCCTGGATGTCCTGGAACTCAATCTGTAGACTAGGCAGGCCTCAAACTCACAGAAATCCATCTGCCTCTGCCTGTCAAGTGCTGGGAATAAAGGCATGTGCCGCCACCACCTAGGTTGTCTTTTCTTTATATCTGAATTTACAGACAACTATTCACCGAGACCCTACAATTAAAAAAACAGTTTATGAAATTTGTGTTAACAGAACATAATTAACTATGTTTTTCCTGTATGTCACCAAAGGACACACGTCACAAATATAATGATTTGACATGTTTCCTTTTTTTAATTAAGTTTTTGCAGTTGTAAGATTGCGATTCTAGACCAGACTTAAGAAGTGTTTCATATTGTCAGATTCTCTATTCTTAACTGTGTTATTTGGAAAACAGCATGAGGTAGGTTGTTGCAGCAGCTTTTTGGCTAGCATTTGAGGTTTTGTCAATTTATTTCTGCTTTAAAACAGCTACTAATTATGGTGCCTGCTCAGTGAGGGGGTGACTACTTGCATGTATTAAAACTTTTTATTTACTCATTTGTCCCTTGAGGTAAAGGCATTCATTATAGGCCCCTCCCTGAATTTTAGGGAAAAAACATACAACTTTTTGATATATATATATATATATCTGAAGTTTGTGGGTTTGTTTGCTTTTTATCCTTTGTTTATTTTTATTTTATTGCATTGGTGTTTGCATGTATTTCTGTGTGAAAGCGTCAGATCTTGGAGTTACATACAGTTATTAGCTAATATGTGGGTGCTGGGGATTGAATCTGGGTCCTCTGGAAGAGCAATCAGTGCTCTTAACCTCTGAGCCATCTCTTCAGCCTGTTTTGTTTTGTTTTGTTTTTTGTTTTGTTTTTTTATCTACCAAAAGTTTTCTAAGTATGAGAAGGAAAAATAGCAGAACATAAATTTCCTTTTCCAGATTACATTATTCCCAGCACTCCTCTTCAAAACTGCATTTCCAGAGTAATCCTGGTTTCCAGGATTCCAAGATCTCTCCAGAGAGCCCTCAGAGAAGGTTGAGTGCCACCATCAGAGAGTGGTTGTGATTCAGAAGAAATAAACCAGAGCTTGTAATTCTCCATTTTAGGCAGTAGTAATTCTCTTAACTGGCCAGTCTTCAAGAAAATGTGTGTGTATTTTGGGTGCTGGATATGCAGTTTAGTAATAGAGTGTTTGTCGTGTCTCCATTTGGTCCTAATCCTATTGCCCAGACTTTTGAAAATATATATTTTATGGCTGGAAAGGCAACCCAGTGGTTAAGAGCGCTTGTTGCGTTTTCAGAGAACCTAAGTATGATGTACAGTACCAATAGTAACTCCAGCTACAGGACATGTGCACTTACATACCCAAACACAAAAACACAATTAAAAATAAAAGACATCTTGAAAAAAAAAGAAAAATGTATATTTTTAAATTCTGTGTTCAACAAACCTTTATTGTGCTCTGTATCATCAGGCCACGGAAGTAGCTAAGACACAGTCCCTTTAAGAAGATTGGCATCTTCCTTTGGAAGAAACAGATCAACCAATAACTTATATAAAAATGCCCCTTTGCTACTTTGATGTCATTTTACTTGTGTTAGAGGGAGAAAGCAAAGAGGGCTTTTTGTCTGCAAGAGTTGTTGAGATGCTAATCTCTGTAGGTAGGGCTCAGCAGATGGGAAAACTGCCTCTTTCTTTTCAAGGCCAACCTGCCCCTGCTGCAGCGAGAACTGCTGCATTGTGCCCGGGCTGCCAAGCAGACCCCATCCCAGTACTTGGCTCAGCACGAGCACCTTCTGCTCAATACCAGTATCGCATCTCCTGCTGACTCTTCTGAACTGCTTATGGAGGTTCATGGAAATGGAAAGAGGCCCAGTCCTGAAAGGTGAGCAGAGAAGAGATCTGTTCTATTTTCCCGGAGCTACTCTTTGCTTTAAAAGAAAGGAGGTTTGGTTGGTGGTTTGTAGGCAGATACATGTCTTAGACTTTCCAAGATTAGCTTCCCTTTGTCCCAGTGACTGTTCAGGTAACTAACTGCACATTCCTGTTGAGAAGTTCTGCCCTGGAGTTTAGACATGAAGACTCAGCTCCTGTGATTGTCCAGTCCCTTCAGCCAATGACAAGTCTTAGGTTATGATTGTGAAGAAGCAATATTATGAACAATAGAAAGATTACTACAGTTGAAGCTGAGTGACTAAAACCCCTACCAAGTCATAGAGGCTGTTTTCTTCCCAGTAGCTGACCTCTATAATGACAGATTTGACCTTCAGCATTCCTAAACCTTGTCAAACCTTGTCCCATTCAGTTTCTCCTGTCCTGTGTCATGATTAGATGGTTCTGCTTTCTGGACCTCTCTTCTTCACACTGGAATAAACAAACATTTACATATTGTTTCTGGCCCCTGAAGACAGTTCGGTTCATGCCTCTTGTTAAGCCATTCCTGAGCTGGGTACGGGAACACACACCAGAAGTCACAGCTATTGCAGAGGCACTGAAGTCAGATCTCTGAAGTTTGGCTGACGACCAGCCTGAGTATCATACTGACTTAAGGGCTGATGGTCTACCAGTATGAAGCATGTGTGTAGCATGTGGGCTGCAGCACCAAAAATCAATAACCATTCTTTGAAGACTTCCTGCTTTGTAAAGTACATAGTATGTGAAGGTTGGGTTTCCTATGAGGTGAGTTGCTGGGAAGAAGCTGCTGTCCTGAGACTTGGTCGGGATGTGACATGAGCACTTCTTGATAGGCACCTATAAGCACTTCTGATTCTTCTGCAGGAGGGAAGAGAATAGTTTTGAAAGAGATACAATTGCTTCTGAACCACCTGCCAAGAGAGTGTGTACTATCAGCCCTGCTCCCCGGCACAGTCCTGCCCTCACTGTGCCCCTCATGAATCCTGGGGGCCAGTTCCATCCCACTCCACCACCTCTTCAGCACTATACTTTAGAAGACATTGCAACTTCTCACCTGTATCGGGAACCCAACAAGATGCTAGAACACCGAGAAGTTCGTGAGAGGCACCACAATCTCAGTAAGTGGTCGCAGCAGCATGACAATGCTTTAATCTGGAGGGAATCATGGGTTGCTTCCTATTCAGTGAAAAGCCCAGTAATATCATGATTGCCTTTTTCTGTTAAGATGATGTTGTGCAGCTGGACGTAGTTCCACATGCCTGTAATTCCAACATTATAGAGGCTGGAGTTTGATGATCAGCTCAGGGTCACCCTCATCCTCATAAGGAGTTTGAGGCTAGCCTGTGCTATAGACCCCCCCAAAAAAGAGGACTGGGCATGGTGGCATACATATTAGCAGTCAGGAAAATAGCGTGGTTTACACGAGTCTCAGGCCAGTAAGAGTTGCTTTGACTCTATGTGTGTAATCTGATGGAAATTGCTTAGCCTCTTGAGCCTGAGAGTGATAACTTTTTTTTTTTTTTTTTTTGCCATTTTTCTTTATTGAGCTATACATTTCTCCCACTCCCCTTCACTCCTCCCCTCTCCCCTTCCATTCTTCTCCCAATACTCAGGAGATCTTGTCTATTTCCCCTTCCTAGGTGGATCCATGTATCTCTCTTAGGGTCCTCTATGTTTTCTGGGGTTGTGGCCTGTAGGTTGGTTGTCTTTTGCTCTATGTCTAATATCCACTTATGAGTGAGTACATATTATATTTGTCTTTCTGGGTCTGGGTTACCTCACTTAGGATGGCTCCTTCTAGTTCAGTCCATTTGCCTGCAGATTTCAAGATGTCATTTTTTTTTTTTTTTTTTTTTTTTTTTTTCCCACTGAGTAGTCTCCATTGTGTAAATGTACCACATTTTCCTTATCCATTCTTTGGTTGATGAGTACTAGGTTGATTCCAGGTTCTGGCTATTATGAGTAATGTGCTGTGAACATAGTTGAGCAAATGTCCTTGTAATGTGAGTTTGCATCCTTTGGGTATATGCTCAAAAGTGGTATTGCTGGGTCTTGAGGTAGGTTGATTCCCAGTTTTCTGAGAAACTAATATACTGATTTCCAAAGTGACTGTACAAGTTTGCACTCCCACCAGCAGTAGAGGAGAGTTCCCCTTTCTCCACATTCTCCAGCTTAAGCAGTCATCAGAGTCTTTAATCTTGGCCATTCTGACAGGTGTAAGATGGTATCTCAGAGTTGTTTTGATTCGCATTTCCCTGATGACTAAGGATGTTGAGCATTTCCTAAGTGTCTTTCCCCCATTTGAGATTCCTCTGTTGAGAGAGTTCTCTTTTTAGATTATTTGGTCTTTGGATGTCTAGTTTCTTGAGTTCTTTGTATATTTTGAAGATCAGCCCTCTGTCAGATATGGGTTGGTAAAGCTCTTTTCCCATTCTGTAGGCAACTGGTTTGTTTTGTTGACTGTGTCCCTTGCTTTATTGGAGCTTCTCAGTTTCAGGAGGTTCCATTTATTTATTGTTGCTCTCAGTGTCTATGCAGCTGGTATTATATTTAGGAAGTAGTCTCCTGTGCCAATGTACTCAAGGCTTCTTCCCACTTTCTCTTCTATGATGTTTGATGTGGTTGGTTTTATGTTGAGGTCTTTGATCATTTTGGACTTGAGTTTTGTGCATGGCGATAGATAGGGATCTATTTGCATTCTTCTTCATGTCAACATCCAGTTATGCCAGCACCATCTGTTGAAGATGCTTTCTTTTTTCCATTTTATAATTTTTGCTTTGTCAAAAATAAGGTGTTCATAAATGTGTGGATATCAAGGTCTTCGATTTGATTCCATTGGTCCACCTATCTGTTTTTTATGCCAATACCAATCTGTTTTCATTATTGTAGCTCTCTATATAGTAGAGTTTGAAATCAGGTATGGTGCTGCCTACAGAATTCCTTTATTGTACATAATTGCTCTGGCTATCTTGCTTTTTTTTTTTTTTTTTTTCCTGTATGAAGTTGAGTATTGTCCTTTCAAGGTCTGTGAAAAATTGTGCTGGGATTTTGATGGGTATTGCATTGAATCTATAAATTGCTTTTGGTGAGATTGCCATTTTTACCTTGTTAATCCTGCCTATCCAAGAACATGGGAGATCTTTCCATGTTGTGATGTCTTCTTCAATTTCTTTCTTCAAAGACTTAAAGTTCTTGTCATACAGTTCTTGAAAGTAATAACTTCTGAAATGAATGAAGATAGTATTACCATCTCTGCTTTTTTGTTAGGTTTGAAATGCCTGAAGCATAGGCCTGTGTAACTATTAAATTTAAGAATAAACACTCCCATTTTAAAAACCCACAGTCCTAATTTGAGATCAGTTTTTGAAAAGAGCTTTTTGTCACATTCTCTTTTGTAAATGAATCTTTAGAGTTTAACTCCTCAGTATCAATCAGGCAGGGAAATAAACAAAGAAACAAATAAATGAAGGCTGCCGTCTTGATGGGTTTCTGTTGCATTCCATTTGTTAGGGGTACCTGGTAGAAAACACATTAACTTTTTCCCATTTGGACCTAAGCTGACTAGCATTTTCCCAAGGCAAAAACCTCACCAGGGCCTCATGTTTTATGCAATTCTTACTGAATGGTAAAGGCCATGAGAGCATTGTCTCCATACATTTACTGAGTCTCAGCTACCACAAATTATTTGATTTAGTCTTTCCAGAAGGTCTGGACAGTCATTAATTTCTTCATACAGAAAGGATCAAAGCAACTGTGGCCAGTGTCACATAACTAATGAGTGGCCTTGACAAGATTCAGTTCCTAAGCTGCCTGATGTTGAGGTTGGCTACATTGGCAACATGTGGTGATACATACCATTCTTAGTGTCCTTCCATACTGTCTCATGCCTTTTGTTTAGCTTGGGGGTCATCAAGATGGCTCAGTGAAAAAAAGTCACTTGCCATGTAAGCCTGGGTCTTGAGTTTGATGCCTGAAGAGAATTCACTCCATAAAGTTGTTCTCTGACCTCCATGTGTCATCATAGTCAACATCATCATACACATACAGACACAGACAATAATAACATTAAATTCGTTTTCAGAACTAGTCTTGCTATTGATTTTTTTCCTCTTCATACACAGTTTCTGTCCATTTGAGAAAGAAGAATGGTGAAAGCTAGGTGTGGGGTTTGAAAGAAAATGGCCCCCAAAGGGAGTGGTACTGTTAGGAATGTGGCCTTGTTGGAGAAAGTATGTCACTGTGTGGGCAGGCATTGAGGTCTCTTTTGTTCAAAGATTCCCTCAGTGTGACTGTCAGTTGACTTCTGTGGCCTGTATATCAAGATGCAGTCAGCATGCAGTCTGCCTGCATGCAGTCTTGCTCCCCACTATGATGATAACGGACTGAACTTTTGAAACTGTGAGTGATCCACCCAATTAAATATTTTCTTTATAAGAATTGACGTGGTCATGTCAATTGCTCTGCACAGCAATAAAAACCCTAAGGCAGTAGGTATAAATGTATTTTGTTAAATTTTACTTGTATCTCTAATAGTTTTAGGAAAACTATGTATCTACATCTGGAATTGTACTTTGAGATTGTTGGTCACCTACCATGTTTAATTCACCAGGTTCATCAAAGATTCCTTTGTTTTCCTTAGACCTATTAGGAAATGTCTGCCCTATTATACTGGTCCATATTCACCAATCTATCACATGCCCCTCCCCCTAATCGAATCAGTAATAAGTCCACTCCCCTTTACTCGCCTGAAATGAAATCTGTGGGCACAATCTATAGCCTACCTTATATCTCTAAATTTAGGATCTATAGTCTATCCAAAATATAAAAAAGTATTTACAATAAAATGTAGTAGTGCTTAGACATTAGAAGATAGCAATGAAAGATAGTGTTTAGGGTGTAGCTCAGTGGTAAAGCAAACTTGCATGTGATAGAGTTAAAGGTGTGCGCTACAACACTTCTTAGTCAGGGTTCCCTTGCTGTGAAGAGACACTGGCCACAGCAGCTCTTATAAAAGAAAGTCTTTAATTGGGGCTTGCTTGCAGTTTTAGCTGTTTGGTTCCATTATCAGCACAGCAAAAAGCATGGCAGCATGCAGGCTAACATGGTGCTGAGAGGCCTATATCTGGATCTGAAGGCAGCAGGAAGGGAGAGAGAGCCACTGGGCCTGACTTTGCTGTTTGAAACCTCAAAGTCCATTCCCCAGTGACACACCCTCTAATCCTTTGAAGTAGTACCACTCACTCTCTGGTGACTAAACATTCAAATACGTGAGCTTGTTGGGCCCCTTCTTATTCAAGCCACCAACAGAGTACTTCTGATATTTTATTTTCCAGGATGTTGGATATGAAAGGCTTATGTGAACAAAGGAAAAGGGCATAGCCCCTAATAACTTAGAAGATTTGCTATCCTTAGAAGGTGTTTATGCTCTGTCTGTACTTCCTTTTCTGATATGACCTGTTGTGTTTGTTTTTCTTTTGGGATTTGTCTTTACAACTGAATTGATAAGAGTTTGGGAGTTGTGCCCCAAAAGTGCTGGGAATGGAACCCAGGTCCTAGTGCATGCTAGGTAAACATTCTGTCACTGAGCTGTACTTCTAGTCCCTGGAGTTATTTGATCTGAATACTAACTCTTTATTGGTTAACATTAATGGTTGTGTCATTTTTGTGGGTCTCACACCAGGTATGGTAACTTACTCCCTTGGTAGTGTGCTCTAAGTTGACATAACTGTGTTGTGTACACTTGATAGAATTCAGTTGCTCTGCATTCTTTAAATATAATTTCTTGTTTCTAATAGATCTGAATGGAGGCTATCAAGATGAGTTGGTAGACCACCGTCTGACAGAAAGGGAATGGGCTGATGAATGGAAACATCTTGACCATGTAAGAATCTCAGCATGTTTAATTTCCCTAAGTCCTTATTACTTTTAAATCTTTATAGTTTGTTTTGCTTTTTGTTTGTTTGGGTTTGTCGTGTATCTGTGTGCACATGAACATTTGCATGCATGCACATTTGTGGACATGCCATGACTTGAATGTGGAGATTCAGAAGAAACTATTTGGTCTTGTTCCTTAGCAGAAAGGTCCCTTTACATTCTTAACCATGTTGCCTGCCCACTTTTGTTTTTACTTTCCTATTCAGGCATGCACCACTGCATCCAGCTCTTTTAATTCTTATTGCTACCAGTAGTTCATGTGTGCTTGAAGTGAACATGACTTTTGAACAGAAGTTGATTTGTTCACCACTTCTCAGGTGAAGAGCTGCACAGTCACTCCCAGATCTTGGTGGTAGACTGGTCCCTCCAGTTCCTAAAACAGGTAGTCGTGGAATAGATGGTTAAAGCAAAGATTCCAGTTTTGCCACTTGTTGCCTTTGTGAGCTCAATAAATTACTCTACCTCTTTTAGCCTTGATTTTTTTTCCTTTAAAAATAAGGTTCAGTGATATGGCTCTGTGGGCAAAGGCACTTTGCCTAAGTTTGATTCCCAGGACTCACATGGTGGGTGGGGGAGAACCAACTCTTCACAAGTTGTCCTCTGACTTTGCTCATGGGCCTTGGAATGTGCACATGAAGACACATAAACACACCACTAAAATTAAGTAATCTTTCTCCTCTTTCAAAAAAAAAAAAAAAAAAAAAGCTGGGCGTTGGGGGCGCATGCCTTTAATCCCAGCACTCGGGAGGCAGAGGCAGGCGGATCTCTGTGAGTTCGAGGCCAGCCTGGTCTCCAGAGCGAGTGCCAGGATAGGCTCCAAAGCTACACAGAGAAACCCTGTCTCAAAAAAAAAAAAAAAAGAAGAAGAAGAAGAAGGGCTGATAAGGTGGCTTAGTGGTTAAGAGCACTGGCTGCTCTTCCAGAGGTCCTGAATTCAATTCTCAGCAACCACATGGTGGCTCACAACCATCTGTAATGAGATCTGGTGCCCTCTTCTGGCCTGCAGGAATACATGAAGACAAAACACTGTATGCATAATAAATAAATCTTTGAAAGGAAGGAAGGAAGGAAGGAAGGAAGGAAGGAAGGAAGGAAGGCACTGCCATTATTTGTAATAACACATAAAGTGTTTATTATGGAGTGTGGCACACATGGAAAGTTAAACAAATCCAAGTTAGAATTAGTATGCTGTTCTCTTTCCCATCAGAGAAGAGCATCTCTTCTCCCTGAAAATAGGCAGTGCCTACTTGAAAATTGCATATTGTGGTTTACTTCAGATATTATTACTGTTACTATCATCATTTGACCCTGGTCCTTACCTAGGGGGTAATGTATTCATGTGTGTGTGTGTGTGTGCATGCATTTGTCTGTCACAGAGACAGCCCCAGATTGTATTATTATAGAAACATCTAGCTTTATCTAATGATACCAGGTATTCAAGCCTGGTGAAAAATTCTAACTCACTGAGCTGTTAGCTTACAGACCAGCAGTTTTTCTCATATATATATATATAAAATAAACGATTATTTTGTGTATGTAGTTGTGGTGGTGGTATGTTGTGCCACAATGAGTATTCAGGATTCAGTTCTCTCCTTCTACCTTGTAATTTCCAGAGGGTAGCAAGTATTCCTTACCTCTTGAGCCATGCTGGCCTGTATAAAGACTTTTTTAAAGTCACATAAGTATGTGGGTAGATGTGCACAGGATATATGTAAATGCCACACCTTTTATATAAGGGAATTGGAGCACTTGTGACTTCTAGTGTTCCTGGAAGGTTCTAGAACCAATACCTCTGTAGTTGTCCCAACCCTTGGGACAGCAGTCTAGGGCAAGATATCCAGTGGGGGAATGGTGACAAGAGATGCAAGAGAATGACCACAAGACAGGATTTTGATCAAGTGGCAACTTTTATTTTTTCCAGGCTAGCTTATATAGTCAGTAGTATAGGGTAAAGGGGAGGGGGAGAAGAGGCCTAGAGTCAGGTGTTAGTTCAAGCAGGATGTTAGAAAATTATAGAAGGAGGATATTGGCAGGGTAATAAGTTCATGGGTGGTGGGGAGAGGGAGGTTTACTTAGGTCAGTGGTTGGGACTTGGGAGGGTTGCTTAGGTAAGTGGGCCTGTGGTTAGAACAAAGGGTTTGACGTCTGGATCATGTTGTTCCTTCTGGGTGCTCATGCTTCTAGAAGCCATTTATAATCAAAAGATAGTTCTATAACCGTGTGGCGTGCCAAGTTTGGCCTAAAGGTTTATGCCAAGCTGTATGGCTCCCAACATACCTCCATGGATAGGAAAAGATAGCTGTATATATAAAATAAAAAGATATAAAAGGGACTCAGTGGTTAGGAGCACTTGCTGTTCTTGCAGAAGATCCAGGTCTGCTTCTCAGCATCCACATGGCAGCTCACAACCATCAGTAACTCTAGTTCCAGGGGATCCTGTTCCCTCTTCTCATCTCTGTGGGCAACACATAGGCACATGCATTTGTGCAGACCAAATACTAGCATGCATAAAATAAATTAATTTTAAAAAGCAAGGAATAAGAATGACTTTCAAATGTAACCTTTATTCCTAAGGTTATAAAATCTGTGAGTCTCCCCCTCCCGCCTCCCAGTGGTTTGTCCATCCTTGATCTTCACTGTGCCTTGTTTAAGTGTCTCATCTCTGCCTCACTTTCTCTCTGGCTCAGGCCCTGAATTGCATTATGGAAATGGTAGAGAAAACGAGGCGGTCCATGGCAGTTCTGAGGCGCTGTCAGGAATCTGATCGTGAAGAACTCAACTATTGGAAAAGGCGATTTAATGAAAACACAGAGATGAGGAAATCTGGGACTGAGCTAGTCTCCAGACAGCACAGCCCTGGGAGTACAGATTCTCTCAGCAACGGTAAGGATAGAAAGAGGTACCCTAGAAGGAACAGCAACTTTCATTCCACTTAAACATCAGATAGATCTAAGTTCATTGTTATTCTGAAGCGCTTGTTTGGTTTGTTTTTTGAGAATCTTACTATGTAGCTTAGACTAGCCCCATCCTCTTGCCTCAGTTTCTCAAGTGCTGGGATTAAAGGTGTGCACCACCATGCCTAACTACATCTATTTAGTTGTGTATGTGTATTTGTGTGCCATGTTTATGGAGGGTGTTGGTTATTTCATCCCACCATATTGGTTCTAGGGATTAAACTTCTTTTTTTTTTTTTTTTTTTTTAAACTGGTATGTGTGTTGGGGGATGTCAGAGGACAACTTACAATATTCAATATTCTTTATACACCATGTGGTTTCCAGGGATTGAACTCTGGTCCTTATCCTCTACTACAAAGGCCGTTACCTATTGAGCCTGACTTCTCCCTGCCACATTACATGCAAGTTTGCAAGCCTCAGGTTCTTCTATTCATGTTCTGATCTGCTGAATATCAACCATGCTTCCCATAATTCCCTCTTTAGGTTTGATTGATTTGCTCAAGCTGCTCACAGGCTCAGGGAACCAAGCTTATCTGTTTACAAATGACACACATGAAGAGATACAAAGCACAAGGTCTAGGGGAAGGAACACAGGGCTTCTCTGGACCTGCCACACTCAGAAATTGCACATTTCAGCTAACCAGCTTTCTGAATCCTGTGCCTTGTGGACTCATTGCAGTTGAATTACAGTAGACTGGATGGGGAAGTCAAGGAAGGCTTGTGTGCATCAGTGCTGTTCTGCAGCACTCCTTGTCTAGGTGATGGGGGAGACCCACCAGTATAGTATAGTATCAGACAAGGGTACATTCAAACAGTTTTGTTACTTTAGGGTTTAGTTTTATTGTGTGTTTTCTGAGATGCGTTCTCACTCTGTAATCTAGGCTGACCTCAGACTTGCATCAGCCCTGCCTTAGGTGAGATTACAGCATGAACAATCAGCAAATCCTATGGTTTTGTTATGGCCAGTCCCAATGTAGAAAGCTTTGGTTGGGGGAGGGGGGTGAAGGCAAGAGTAAGAGGAGGAGAAATTCAGGCTTGTATGGCCTCCAGTGGAGGAATTGTTAGCCAGAAACAATGATGACATCTAAACTTTGGTGACTGGGGTGTTGCTTAATGATGAGTATTTGCCTGTCTTGACCTGAGTTCAGCATAGCAATAGCAGAGATCAGCAAGGGAGAAAGAAAAGAGTACCAGTTATGTATATCACATCTTAACTAGATACTTTGATGGCTGCACTCACCATATTCCTTCTTGATGGTATTCACCCCACTTTGCTTTCTTTCCTCAATTACTCTCCACTTCCTGGTAGCTTCCTTCAAAAGATTAGCTTAGGCAAAACTGGGTTGCACATCTTGATGCAGCAGAGATGAGCTTATATCCAGGAAGCTAGAGTTATCCCCCAGAATGTTCCATCACTTTTACCCAGAAGCTGAAAAGGTGCCCTATCCAAAGGCACAGCTGAATGACAGGCCATCTGTGATCACACTCTCTCCACCCACCCACTTAAAGTTCCCAAATGTTCATCAAAGAGAATGAATTTCTTCTTATGACAGTGCTAGCGTTTTTCATAGAAGACAGCTGTTAGTCTCAAAAGGACTGGAAGAGAATTTTGAGGAAATGCCAGCATTAATAATGTGTGTCCTATCCTAAATAGCTAAGGGCTACCACTTTCTCCTTTAATTGACAGGCGTGGCTCTTGAGCCAGTCATCAATTGGCACCATTTTATATAGGATATCTAGTATATCAAGAAACAATTTACAATCGAGCACACACGTTTGATTTAAAACGTCAAAAAACAAATGAGGCTAATTCTCGGGTCACTCTAACAAATCTGAACCTTAACAAATATTCCCTAAAGCAACTTAGAGATCCTTGACTAAAGATCAACATCCACAGTCATACATTCCTTCCATGAGTATGCATGTGTGCCGCTGGGGTGGCAGAGTGCAGGCCAGCAGCACTCAGTAAAACTCTGCTGTGCTCTGTACAAACCACTCTAACTTGAGGGTCTAGCAGGGACGACCCATATTGTCTGGTGTGTCTAGGACGGTTTTTATTATTTTTATGGTCCATCAAAGTCATTACAAGCACCTCTCTTTCAAGATGAAGACAATTTGATGAATTCTAGTCACTCTAGATTTAGTGTTTCACGGACTCCTATTAAGAGTCTGAGAACATTGCCAGCCTGTCTGATTTCAGTTGTATCATTTGTCTGGGATACAGTTTAGTTGACATAGTGTTTACTTAACAGGCACTAAGCCCTGGGCTTAGTCCCTAGCACCACAAAAACTGGGTGTGGTCTTAGGGCACACTGTGCTTACAACAAGAGTTTCAAAAGTTAATTGCTAGTCTGAACTTCATGAAACCCTGTCTGAAAGGAAGGAGAGGAAGAGAAGAGAAAATGGCAGGGTAAGGGCTAGAGGAATGGCTCAGCAGTTAAAAATACTAAATACTTTTCCAGGGGGCAGGACTTTAGGTGGCTCACAACCATTTTTTTTTTTTTTTTTTTTTTTTTTTGAGACAGGGTTTCTCTGTGTAGGTTTGGAGCCTATCCTGGCTCGCTCTGTAGACCAGGCTGGTTTGGAACTCACAGAGATCCGCCTGCCTCTGCCTCCCGAGTGATGGGATTAAAGGCGTGCGCCACCAACGCCCAGCTTTCACCACTTTTAACTTCAGCTTCAGGAAATCTGACCTACCTAAGCAGGGCACTCATGCAGACTCAAATTCATACACATGTAGTCAGACTTTTTGTCGGGACCATTGGCTCCCCAATAATGATACACAGACTTATGAATTATAAAAGCTTGGCCTATAGCTTAGGTTTGTCCCACTAGCTCTTATAACTTAAATTAATCCATTTCTATTCATCTACATGTTGCCACATGACTCGTGGCTTTTACCTGTCCTGCATGTTTTGCTCCCTCTCCGTCTGAATGGCAACTCCACCTTTCTTCTTCCCAGCACTCAATCTGTTCAGAAGTCCCTGCTATACCTCCTGCCTAGCTATTGACTGTACCAGTCAGATAGACGCATCTTCACATGGTGTAAAGGAATATTCCACAATACAACACACACTTAATGAAAATCAATTATAAATCTTTTGTTTGTTTTGGTTTTTGTAGATGGAGTTTCTCTGTGTAGCCTTGGATGCTCTGGAACTTGCTCTGTAGACCAGGCTGGCCTCAAACTCACAGAGATTTGCCTGCCTCTGTCTGTTGAGCACTAGGATTAAAGGTGTACATCACCACTTCCAGGCTAAATATAAATCAAGAAAAAGAAAAATACAGGATTGGTTATGAGTGGCAATGCCTCTCCTAAATGAAGGAATGGGGTATTTATATCATACAGTATTTAAACATACTAAATAATGTGTTTCTAGATAAATAGGGTTTATTTCTCTTTCAGTGTGTGTCAGTTTTAGAAGGAAAGCAGAATTCACAGGGTGGACTAAACTGTTGCACTGGAGTGTATTGAGTGTATTGTTTGCTTTAAGAAAGTCTTTGGCTGGCATGGTATATGACTTTTAATCCCAGCACTCTGGAGGCAGCAGAGGACAGCCTAGTCTACATAGAGAGTTCTAGGACATTCAGGATTACATAGACCTTGTCTCAAAAAAAACTTTTTAAATTTTTTGTTTTTTTAAAAAAACGTGTGTGATTGCTTTTATGCCTGCCGGGTATATGTAGGGGGGGGAGGGGTACATGTGCTATAATTACCTGTGGAGGTCAAAGAACAATTTCTGAGAGTTGATTCTCCTTTATTTGGGCTCCATTGATCTAACTTGGTTTATCAAGCTTGCATGGCAGGCAGTTACCTATTGAGCCATCTCTCTATCACCTTTTTTGTGTATGTGACAGGGCCTCTTGCTGTGTAAACCAGTTGATTTTTTTAAGTGCTACTTTTGTTTGTTTTGATTTTGAGAGAGGTCTCTCTGTGTAGCTCTAGCTAGTCTAGAACTTGTTATGTAGCCCAGGCTGGCTTCAAACTCAAATTGATCTGCCTGCCTCTCCCTCCTTCATGCTGGAATTTACAAGTGTACACTACCATGCCCAATTAAATGCTATTTTACAAGTAATTGCACTATGAAAGGTCATATGCAACAGCACTCTGAAAGCTGAGGCAGGAGGATTTTAAATTTGAGGCCCTCCTGAGTTGTGACATACTAAAACTTTATCCCCTACTCCAAAAAAGCCCAGATCATATAATGCAAAAAGATAAAATTGTAGAAATACTTTCTCCTCCTTATTTTTCTTATAGATTTTCTTATAGGGTCACTTACTAACAAATTAATGTTGTCTTACAATTTTTTCTATGTTCATATTTAACAGAGTTCCCCCAGTTTTTTATTTTGACATTTTCAGTCTAAATTTGTTAGCAAGGCCTATAATCCCAGTTACTAGAGAGGCAAAAGCAAGAAGATGAGTCCAAAGCTTGCCTGAGCTACAGTTCAAGGGCAGCCTGAGTAACATGGGAACACTTTTTTCTAAAAGTAACAAAAGTGAGCCTGGGACTTGATCTCTAGTCAAGTTACACTGAATTCATGTATATAATGTCCCAAGTTTTATATGGCCCACTGGTAGACCCACCCATTTATCATGAACAAGGGCCTAGGTTTGATCCCCAGCACCACAAAAAATTTATGCTTACCTACTTAAATATAAAGTTGAGTATACTGTTTCATAATCTGAAGCTAGCTCTTATTCTGAATATGTTTTGCATTAAATAAGCATACAGGTTTAGATCTAGGTGGTAAATGAGAAGTCTGATAAGAAATTTTGTGTCAGGGTTAGAGATTATTCTTAGAGCATTTGCCTAGCTTCTATAAGAACTTGGGTTTTAAGTACTGGGTAAAGAAAGCTTCTGACCCCTTGCTCTTTATCTCTTATGTAGATTCTCAACGGGAATTCACCAGTAGACCAGGAACAGGATATGTGCCTGTGGAGTTTTGGAAGAAAACAGGTGTGTATCTGTCTGTTGGTAAGCAGTCTGTTCTTACTAGTTTATGCAAGTTGGGAACCCATATACTAGGGAAAGGTTCATAACCAGCTTTTAAGTTGTCTACAATGTCCTCCTCATGGAATTGTTGTCTTCTATTCTCCCTCTGGCTCGTCTGCACGTCTCCTGGACTGAATTGCCTGCCTGATCCTTGGCAGGTCAGGAGTTTCGAATGGGTCCCTCTGGGCCTTTTAACGCCCTTCTACAGGCTTCCATTGAAACATGAAGTACCTAGCTCTTCTTTCATTTTGACAAAAGTTGAATTTATTTCTGCTTGGTCTCTTTGCTGATATCATACTGTGTCTACATTGTCACAACATTTGCTGAATTTTGATTTTTTTTTTTTTAAGTTTTCTTGTTTGGGAAGCAGAAATAGAAGACTTGCCAAAAGTTTGAGGCTAGCCTAGGTTATATAGTGAGAACTTACTAACCCTGCCTCCTTGAACCCTACTACCCTCCAATGTTGTGGGTTGGGAGGGAAAAGATTTCTCTGCCAGTTGATTTTACTGTTGCTTTCTTCCAGAAGAAGCTGTGAATAAGGTGAAAATTCAGGCCATGTCAGAGGTACAAAAGGCTGTAGCTGAGGCAGAGCAAAAAGCCTTTGAAGTGATTGCAACCGAGAGAGCTCGAATGGAGCAAACCATAGCGGATGTCAAAAGGCAGGCTGCAGAAGATGCTTTCCTGGTCATCAATGAGCAAGAAGAGTCCACAGAGGTCAGAGCTATGCTGGGCTCTGGGCTGGGCTGGGCTGGGTGGCTGAAGGGGAGCAAGCCCATTGCTTGCTGCTGAGGTGCTGGGTCCAAAGAGTCCACTAGATGATGGGAGTTTTAGCTAATACCAGACGACTTTTTTCTTGATTGAAGATACACCAAAATAATAAATCATTTTTTTGGAATCATTATAGTCTATCACATACTCACAATATATTGCTTCAGCTTCCATGAAGGCAGAGGTTTGTCCCAGCTGTAGTTGTAGTGGGCTCATTGTGTGCAGACAGATACCTAGCTATGTATGTATACTTCCTTTTAATCCTCACAGTAATCTCATTATGTAGATGTTGATTCTCAGTTTATAGAAGTGACAGATAGATAGACTGCCCAATGCCCTATCCAGGGCCCAAAATTGGGTGATGCTTCAATACAATGAAAAATCCAAGTGGACACAATGTTTACACACCTGTAATCCTAGCATTTAGGAGGCTGAGGCCCGAGAATTTAGAGTTCAAGATGAGCCTGATACACATAGGGGAAGATGGGTCACAAAGACAAAAAATAAAAATAAAAAATTCTCCAACCCACCACCCATCTCTCAGTACTGGGCATTAAATTTATGGCCTTGGGTATATTTGGCATCCCAATCTTTTCTTGTTTTATTTTAAGACATGGTCTCACTGAGTTGATAAACTCAGCCTCTAGAGGAGATGGGACTGTAGATACATGTGTTCAGCCCTAGCACTAGAATATTTGAATTCAGTGAATTTTGTTTTATTTTTTTGCATATAGGATCTCTCTGTGTAGCCCTGACTATTCTGAAACTTGCTATGCAGATTAGGCTGGCCTCAAACTCAGAGAGATCTGCCTGCTCCCAAGTGTTAGGATCAAAGATGTACGCCACCACTCACTCCCAGCCTGTAACTTTCATTTAGTCTTGTCCTTTTTGTTGTTGTTTTTTGTTTTTTGGGTTTTTTTTTTTTGTTTTTGTTTAGTTTTTTGGTTTTTTTGAAGGATGGTAGATTTTTGAGACAGGATCTTTTTATAGCCCAGTCTGGCCTGGTACTATGCAATCCTAGTTGTTATTGGGAGATCAGTCCTTTTGCCTCAGTCTCCTCAGTGCAGAGATTTATAGATGTGCGCCATCATGCCAACCTTCTCATGTTAGTCATTCTTTAGGTTTAAAATATAATTTTAAGCAGCAAACTAAAAGTAGTCTGCAGGTGAGATGAATGCCAGCATGGATCCTGGCAAATTTGCACTTCAAAAGGAAGAACAGACATCTTAAGCTTTTGGTGAGTTTGCAGTGGACCAGAAACGCTGATTCTCGTGCATTTCAAGAAATACTGCTAGGTAAATAGCAGTTTCTCCATCTCGTGAGAAGCTGTGTGGCACAGGAGAAGCATGCTACTCCTACCTTCTCTTCACACTGACTTATCATTAAGGATCAGTTTTCTCTACAGAGGGTACAACTGCTCTGTCCTTTTGGCCTGATAAATTTTAGGAAGATAAACTGAGTTTACATATGATACTATTCAGTGGTGTGTAAACTACAGCAGCTCTTACTCTTGGCTGCATAGCCCTAGGCCTGGGTTGCTTTTCTACCTGGGAAGGTTTTTTTGTTTGATTTTCTTGAGATAGGGTTTCTTTTTTAGCTTGGCTGTCCTGGAACTTGCTCTCTAGACCAGGCTTGCCTTGAACTCGCAGGGATGCACCTGCCTCTGTCTCCTGAGTGCTGGGATCAAAGGCATGTACCATCACCATCTAGCACTCTGCCTGGAATGGAGGGGGGGGGAGTGTCATCTCTCTAACGAGGCATGTTCTGGCCACAGCTCCAATTTTTCTGGCAAATACAATAAATTAGCAATTGATCATGAAGTGGAGAGTCCTTTCTCCTGTGGGCCAGGGCTGCCAAAAGTTTTGAATTGAGATCCAAGGCTTTTGACAAGCCCCAGGTAATTCTGATAGAGGTTACCTGAGATGCTGACATAACAGTGGCCTCTCCTTAACAAAGGAGATCCTAGAATCATAATCCTGACTTCTCTAACTAGTGACTCAGGAGGTTTATGACCTTCCCACAATAACTATAGAAGAGCCAAGTCTGTGGCTCAGATTTTAAGGAATGCTGATCTGAAGGTTGACTAAACAGTAAACATTTTGGTTTTATTTGGGGCCAAGGTTTGTTCCTGAGATAGGGTCTCACAGTCTAGGCTGGTCTTGAATTCACTATATTGCCAAGGCTTACCTTAAGCTCCTGACTTACCTGCTTCTGCCTCCCAAATGCAGGGATTACCCTTTGTTTCAAGAAGTTGTCTTACTTACCATATTGCCCAGGCTGGTCTCAAATTAAATCTTAGCCTCCCAGGTAGCTAGAACTACAGGCCAGTGCCATTCCTTCACCCATGTCCTTCCACACTAACCGTACTATACCTGCATACTAGGAGCCTATCTCTGTAGGCTACTTACTTTGTTCTACTATATTTCACATAGCATGAAGATATTGTTGAATAGTGGCAGTCAAGATGGAAATGTTGGTGGCTTGGTGTTCTGACCAGGTTCTTAGATGTTCTTGGAGACATCTGGAGTGAGAGGCAGCCTGTAGTAGCAACCTGCATAGGCAGCTCCTGGCTTGTTCCTCACAAGTGCTATCAACTTGTTGAAGTATTGATCCTTGGCAGCCTATCAGACTCTCAGTGTTGCCTGAAGATGTGTAAATGTAACATAATGATTATGTCTGTTCTCTAATTCTGTCCTATGATGCTGGTAGTCATGGCAAGGTTTTACTGCCCCTATAGTACACTTCCCAAGAAGCCTGAGTTAAGAGGGATCTGTAGTCTTTTCTGATGTGCTTTGAAGTAAGTCTGTGTATGGAGTATCTGGGCTTCAGGAAACCCAGGTTCTCTAGGCTTTGATGACATTCTAGCCTTACCACATCTGGGCCTCAGTTTTCCCATATTACAATGCTGGGAAGGAGCCAGTAGGCCTGTTTATATTCTGGTCAAGCGTCCTGGTTTTAGGAAGAAGGCTGTCTTTCTTCCCTAGCTAGTACTGTAGTCAGGCTTTTGAGATGGAATCCGCCATTCTGGTGTCCTTGTAGGCAAGAAGGCTAGTTGCTCTGTCCTTGATAGTTTCCCAAAACTAGAACCTTTCAAACAAGCAAACAAACAAAAAACCTTTCTTTGACCAGTAGGTCCTGAGAGTTTTCGGGTGTAGAATATTCACATGTCACTAGTGTATTCCTCCCAGAGGTAGCAAAGGACTTAGGAGTCAGTGGTGGGGCTCCACAGCGGTAGTGTTTTTTGATTGTTTTGTTTTTAATGCTGTCTTTGCTCCCAGTCACCTAGAGATGTTAGTAAGTTGTGTGTTTAGTGACTTGGTGACTGTCCTGATGCTTTCCTGGCTGCTCCTTGAGCTCTTATGTTATATGATAGAATTACTGTTCTTAGCTGGTACTTTCTGCTGAGCCTCAGGATTATTTGCCCCACTCTGAATAAATGTAACAAGCAGTAAGAAAACTCCCTGAGCTCCACTTCAGGTACCCCCACAGTTCAGTGACCTTGACCACAGACTACAGCTTCCCCTCAGCCCATCTGGAATGTGACATGACAGTGAAGGAAATAGGCACAGGGACAAAGGAAGCAGTAGCAAAGCCACCTCCCTCTTCATCCATCCTGATTCCCTGGCAGGTTACTTGGGGGGAAAAGAAATCTGTTTTCCTATATGCCTTTAAAAATATTTGTTAAGAGATCAAATCCTAGCCAGATGGTTGTAGCACACACCTTTAATCTCAGCATTTGAAGGCAGAGGCAGGCAGATCTCTGTGAGTTTAAGGACAGGTTGGTCTACAGAGTGAGTTCCAGAACAGCCAGGGCTACATAGAGAAACCCTGTCGGGGCCAAAGGTGGGGTGGGGAGGATCGAATATTGTCAGTAAAAGACGGTGAAGATGGTTCCTCCATTGGTTGCTATAGAAAATGTTTGGTCAAGCCTCATGTGTGGATGTGTGGTCTTCAGAAGATAGTTGTGAGACCCGGGCCAGGTGACATGTGGCCATGATCCTGGCATTTGGGAGGGAGAAGCAGGAGGATCAGGAATTAAAGGTCATCCTCAGAGGACTCACCCACAGGTGTGTAGCTCCACGACCCTTGTTCTACCATGCAGATAACAAGTGACAGTGGCAAGCCTGCCCCTCAAGATATCAGCAGCCACTAACTGATGCCTGTGTCTTGCAGAACTGCTGGAACTGTGGCCGAAAAGCCAGCGAGACGTGCAGTGGCTGCAATATTGCTCGCTACTGTGGTTCCTTCTGCCAGCACAAGGACTGGGAACGGCACCACCGCCTCTGTGGCCAGAGTCTGCATGGCCACAGTCCCCACAGCCAGAGCCGGCCACTGCTCCCTGGAGGGCGGGGCTCAGCCAGGTCTGCTGACTGCAGTGTGCCCAGCCCAGCCCTGGACAAGACCTCAGCCACCACCTCACGTTCCTCAACACCTGCCTCTGTGACAGCCATCGATGCCAATGGACTCTGAGCCACAGACTCCACCAGCCCTGATGACCACTCCACATGGCAGAATGCTTGCACCAGGGAGCTGGCAATTGAAACAAGTAGCTGTTGAGTCATCAGCAAGAAATGAATTGGCAGGAAGCATCCAAGAAGCATTCCACAGCTTCTCTAGGATTTGCCACATGTCCTTGGGAGAACTGGTGTGTCATTCTCTGCACACGGAAAGTAGCTTGAGCCTCCTCCATGATGTTCCTGATGTTTCTCTTCCAGCTAAAACTGGCATAACCTGCCTCTTCTCAGCGTAGACCACCAGGCTCCCTCCAACTCCTTGCATCAGCAGATTGTCAGTAGTGTCCACCAGGCACCTGTGCCCCATACCATCCATAGTAGAGGCATGAAGGCTGGAAGCAGGCTAAGGGAGACCTTTCCTCCCTCTGCCTCCAAACAGTTTCTTGAGCTGCATCTTCACCCTCAGATGGCACTGATCAGTTTAACAGACTCTAGTAGCCAAAAAGCAGTACTCAGGACTCCTTCCTGAGCCACTCAAACATGCCAGAAAGAAGCCACCACTTCAGTAAAGTCTCTAGTAATGGTAAAAATTAAAGCAGTCTTTCCCAAGCATCATAGATCATTTTGGACAAGATTTTCCAACCTGGCCAGCTCCATTAGCTTGGAACCCACCTCCCAGCTCCAGTGTTTCACTTGATTTTGCTTGTGCAAAAATAATCTCCATCGCATGGATTGGTCTGAGAGAGGATGAAACCATTGTGTTAGTCTTTTCTCTGAGCATGCTGGCCAAACTGAAATATTGAGTGCATCACCTCTTGGAAATGCAAAACCCTTTGCTGTTGCTTGACTGTTTAAACAGTCGTCTTGTTCTTTGTGTCCTTCTGTCTCTCACTGTGCATGTCTGGATCACTGGGGGTGTCTCTGGCCCATAGGTTCTGTTTGGCACCTGTCAAGCTACAGTTTGAACAGTGCTCCTGATGCTGGTAGATTATTCATACCTGGTTTTATGGCATTACACCACTTCATGGGTTTTATCAGGTGAACATTCTCAGCCTCCTTTTTCTATGTTATGTGTTTAATAGCATCCCTCACAGCTCAGAAAGGATTTGTGAAGTGTGGGAACCGTTTTGAAAAGCCTGACCAGTTTTTCTTCCCATCTTCAGGGGTTTTTCCAATTACCTGATTCTCCAAATAGAGTATCATCTGTACCTATTTAACAGGCTAAGTACTGCCTCTGACACCTTTTCTACTGCTGTTTGAGGTTTGTTAGGAGTCCCAGGACCTTTCCCCTCCCACTCAGTATCCTCCTGCCCTGAGCAGTCAATTAGAATGAGTCATCAACTTTGATCTGTTGGCTTTTGGAAACTGTGGTCACCTTCTGTACAATGACCACATCTGAATATTATTAGCCCTTGCCCCATAAAAGCATGGATGTCATTGTCCTTGCATATAGTTACAGCTGATTTTAAGATTTTTGAAACCCTACTTTTTTGAACAAGAATTTTCAGCTTCAGAAACTTAGACTTTTAAAATAATTTTTCAGCATACAATACCCAAGACCTACTAGTTGTCAGACAATCTGGTACAGCCTGGCATCCCTGGCCACATCCCCTTCAGCCTGCTGTTGAGTATCCTAGCCACTAGGGACAACTTTGCTTTACTAGGTAGAGTCAGTACCAGACACAAGGCTGTGTCATGAGAAGATCACAGGCTTCTGGGAATCTGAGAATGTCTCCCGGTGTAACCTGGGTTCGTTATTTCATTAGTAAATTGGATGAACATCTGAGTGTTAAAATCTTGGAGCCACAGGACTACTCCAGGTGGTTAGAATATAGAGCTAGAACTAGAACACTACTTCTTACCAGGTTGGAGATCAGTTCCTACAGCAAAGGTTTGGGTTAAGGGCCTGGCCTACTTTTGTGGGCTACATGGTTGCCCTGACAGATTCTGAGTTTCTGTTTTTGTTTGTTTTTTGTTTTCTGAGACAGGGTTTCTCTGTGTGGCTTTGGAGCCTATCCTGGCACTTGCTCTATAGACCAGTCTGGCCTCAAACTCACAGAGATCCTCCTGCCTCTGCCTCTCAAGTGCTGGGATTAAAGGCGTGTGTCACCAACGCCCGGCCTAGATTCTGAGTTTCTATAGTCCTGTTTGGGAACTGTTTGGCTTCTGTCCCTTCACAGATTTGTCTATAGACCTGGACAGGGCTGCAGACTAGAGAGTTCAGTTTTCAGACTGTCACTGTCTTGACGCTGGTCAGCATCGCTCTTAAGTGGCATCTGCTGAGGACTGACTTTTCACACTCCGGGAGCTCCCTTCCGCACTTCTCCAACCTCCCCCCAGTCAGGAGAAGCAGCAGCATCTAGGGTAGCAGCTGGAGTGAGTCCCGGCTTCCCACTTGATTTCTAGTCTGCCAATACATACGATCCAATACTTGACTGGAAGTGAACATAAAGCTTCCACTCATCCACTCTAAGAAAAGAAGAAACAGCTGAGTCAGGCTGCTCAGAGGTCTGGACTCCCAGCAGTAACTATTTGGGGAACAAAAAGATGAGGGCTTTATCATCCCCTACCAGGTGAAAGATAAAATTGCAGAAGCCAGACAACACCAAAAGTAGTGCAACTGGAGTTATGCAACCATCCCTCACTCCAGCAAACGGTGAAGACTTGGTAGGTAGGACGCTGTGGAAGTTAAAGGAGATGTGGCTTATTTGGTAGTGTGGCTAGCATGCAGAAGCCCTGGATTGGATTCCCAGTATGACATAAACCAGCTTATCTATCATCTCAGCACTTGGGAGATGGAAAGCAGGAGGACGAGAAGTTTAAGGTCATCCTTAAATACATAGCAATTCTGAGGCCAACCTGAGTTACATAAAACCTATCTCAACAAAAAGAATCACATTGAAGAAGGGTCCCTTGTAGCTCCATCAGATTGGCTCATGCCAGCAGGTGGCGGTGAGGGCATAAACTGAGTGGCTTTTTCCTGAGTCACTAAATCACGTGTGGAAACATCTGCCTGCCCGCTCAGGTCTGCTCAGGGCATTGGCAGTTACCTTCAGCAGTGTGGATTCTTTTACCCATTTGGTCCCCAGGAGGTGCTTCACTTCTTGATGTCAACTCTAGCATCTTTAGCTTCCAGAGGGGATATCTACATTTTAGTTTGTATAGCCCTGTCCCAAAAGATGGAAGTGACCCATACCTGCTTATAGAGGGTGAAGACATTTTTCTGAGTGGCTCTGGAAGCTATCTCAGCAAGTATGTGAGGACTCAACAGAACTGCAAGTGTGTATTAGTGGAGCATAAGGAATGAGCAGATGGCCATCGTCCTGGAAACTGCAGACGGGATTGTGGGTTGAAAAAACCATTACAAATAGGACACATCTTGGAGGCTTTCTTCAGAACTGGACTAGAACCAAGGTTTCCAGGCTCCTGGCTCAGAAGACCAAGCCAGCGTGCTTTGATGAATGTTAGCTGTTTGCAGAGAACTGGGTGGTGGCATGTTTGAACCAAATGTGAGAAAAGCCAGAAGAAACTGAGCTGGCTAGTGTGGGCCAGGTGGCCAGCTGTGGAAGATCCTTGACCTGGCAGCTGCTTAGCAGAGCCTGCCCACTCAAGTATATTCCTTGTAAAGCCAAAATGCTGAACTACCTGCTTCTGCCTCATGTGTTGACACCCCTTTCCAAAGATGATGGAGTAAGTGTGAGCCAGGAAGAAGTTGAGATGGTGGGCAATGATTTGACCCTCAATCTCTCCTTCCACAGCCCAAGAGGTAGGTGGTGCTTCCCACTCAGACCCCATCTTGTCAGGCCTCCAGCTGCCCAGTGTACACTGTCAATGCTTATACCAAATAGGGCATGTGCAGCTGGTGTCTGTCAGGGACAGCCCAGTCCCTGCCTTGTAGTTGCCAGGGAGAAGCTGCAACAATTGTTCCAGTGAATGGTTGAAAGGGCTGTTTGATACAAGGCCTTCATTCCACTCCTGTGGCTTTCCAAGTTCCTGATGAGGCTGCAAAGGCTCCATCCCTACAGAAAACCAATAATGTAAATAGAAAGCCAAGCTTCCAAGCATGGTTTGCAGAGGTTGGTGATGAATGTGAAGCCACCCACAGGATACATTTGAATCTGGTTTTTCTGTGCTTTGTCATTTGACTCAATAGGAACTTTTGTTACTTAACTCTGTGCATAACTTATTTAATGTACTGTATAAATGAACCAAAACTGTTAAATACGTATTTAGTTTGTTCTACTTAAAGTAGTTAATAAAGATGATATATTCCTTTTCTGACTCAAGCTGGACTAGGTCTGGGCAAGATAGTATAGTGGTGGCAATGTGTGTGCCAGGTGGCCTGTGGCGGGCTTTAGTGTCATCGTGCACCACACATGGTGCATCCTCCTCCATCCCCAGGACTTTGGTGAAGGGGCAGCGGAGCTGTGGCCAAAAGAGCATGAGATTGGCCAAATCAGGAAGGAGGTGGGCTGCTGAGGAGAAAGATTCTAGCACAGAAGTCTCTAAGAGCTTGCAATTAGACCCTTCCATGAAGCCAGTTGCAGCCATCTTCTCTATCCCAGGAAGGTCTAAGTGACCATGCTGGTTGCAGTAGATTGCCACCAATAGTGTACAGACATCCTTGGTTCTTCTCCATTGAGTAATTTTACTAAGAACATTCAGCCACGGAATGTCCTTAGGCTAATCTTTTCCTAGCAACATTTGTTATTTTCTTACAAAGTTTCAACATTAACATACTAGAGTGTGTGAAAATTTTGTCTTTTCTGTGCTAGCATTAATTCTTAATTTCACTGATGCTGTCATTTGAGGCTGTACTTTACCTCAAAGTCTCATTCAGCTTCACTGTTTGGTGTCTGGTGCCCTCTGGAGGACAAAATGGTGCCTGCTACTTCTGCTTCCATCTGAGCTAATTCCTACCTAGGGTGCTCCTCTGACTGCTTTTGTCTTTTTCTGGTCTTTGGCCTTTTCTGAGTCTGTCTCTCTTTCCCCCCCCCCCCCCACCCCATCTTCCAAGATAGGGTCTCTCTGTAACAGCCCCAGCTCTCATGGAAATTGCTTTGCAGACCAGGCTAGCCTCGAAACTCAGAGATATAACTGGCATTTCTGAGACTCTCTCTATCCTATGAGTTCAGATGATGATGTTTTGGGTACATCAGAAGTTTCAGGAGAATTCAGGATTCAGCATTTTTCTTGTGCTAGACTCTACCTTGCTTTGACATCCCTTAGACCTCAAGGCTTAGTAGGCCTTGGCACACTGTGGAACTGAGTAAAACCTGTCATCACTGTCCCTGCTTCTTAGCTAGGATACTGCTGTCAAGGGATGCCCATTTTCAGTGCTTCCCACACTTGACAGCAAGTAGCAGTTGGTACCAGGGCAAAGCATGCAACTGCCTGTGTGTCTCTCCTGTAACTTGGGGTGCTAGCATTGCCTACTCACTGGGTTGTGAGGGTGAAATGTGATCGCAAGAGAGCCAAGAAGAGCATGTGGATATTGTTTCTTAAATCAATGATAAGCAAGCTGCAATTCATAGAGCCACGGCAGTTAGGTTTACAGCAAGGGATGGGATGGGGGGCAGATAGATCTTATTGGGAAAGGGAGGTTAGAATAGTTATGGATGGATTGGTGGGGGGTGTGGAACAGAAGGATCAAGGGGAGAAGGATGAGGGAGGGAATACTAGGAGAGAGGCAGCTAAAATTAAGAGCCATTTGAGGGGTAGTATGAACCTAAATATAGTAGGAGCTTCCAAGTACATATATGAAAGTGATCTAAATGAAATATCACTAAATAATGGAGACAGAACCTGAACTGGCTATCTCATCACCAAATGAAACTTATGGTACTGGAATTGAGTTGCATCTAATTGAGCTGTTGGCCAAAGGAGTCCCATGGGAATCCCCAAACAACTCAGGCTGTTGCGGAGACTACAGCACCTATGCCAATCATTGGACAGGGAGAAGTTGAGCTGATGGCTACGTAAGAGCCTTCACCCCTACTGGCAGTGCTAGCATCTTTGGTACAGGAACCTTCCTGTACTCGGCATGCTAACAAACGAAACAAACAACTCAGCTAACAACCCTTTGATCTACAGTGGTGTGTTAAGGAACCACCTAATACCTGACTTGACTTAAGGTCCACTCCACAAGATGAAACCCATACCCAGCACTGCTTGGGTGACCAAGAATCTGAGATTAGCTAACACAGGGACCTGGGGTAAAACCAAATAAAGTCACAACAAAATGATTCCTAATGACCCTCTCTACCTCAGACACTTTGTAACACTCAGCCCTAAACAGGATGTGTCCCCTCAGGGCTCAGGGAATCCCATGAAGAGGAGGCCAAAAGAGTGCAAAGGCCAGAGAGGATGGAGGACACCAAGAAATCAAGGCTTTCTATGTCAACATGATCAAAGCTCATATGAACTCAGAGATTGAAGCAGTATGCACGGGTCTGCACCAGGTCCTCTGCGGATCTATTGCAGCTTCCAGTTTAGAGTTTTTGTGATTCCTGAGTATGTGAATGAGCAGGTCTCTTGATTTTCTTGGGCTCTTTTTCTTATGTTTGTTTTGTCCAACTCAAATGTATTAGTTTTGTTTTACCTTATTATCCCTTAGAACCTTGAACCCTTGTTTGTTTGTTTGGTTTTTGAGACAGGGTTTCTCTGTGTAACAGTCCTGACTGTCCTGGAACTCACTCTGTAGACCAGGTTGACCTCTGCCTCTGTCTTTCAAGTGTTGGGATTAAAGACATGTGCCACCACTCCCTGGCTCCCTTTTTGTTTTCTTACAAGAAGCAGAAAGGGAGTGGATCAGGTGGGAGGGAGGTGGGCAGGAACTGGGAGGAGCAGAGGAGGGGAAACGGTATGTTAGGGGGGTCTACTTTCAATAAAGTGGGGGGCACAGGGGTTGGAAGGGAGCCAAACAGTTATGGTGGCACATGGCTGGAATCCCAGCACTTAGAAATGACCACAGGAAAATTGAAAGTTCGAGTTTATAGTGAGTTTGAAGCCAACCTGAGCTACATGAGATCCTGCCTCAAACCAGGGACTGGAGAGATGCTCTTCCAAAGGACCTGGGTTCAATTCCACAGCTCACAACTGTCTTTAACTACAGTCCTAGGGATCCAGTGCCCTCTTCTGAACTCTACAGACACCAGGCATGTGGTGCACAGACATACATCCAGACCAAAAAAAAAACAAAAAAAAAAAACAAAGAACTTCTAACATTTTTTAAGGGGTGGAGATGGCTCATTGGTTGAGAGTACTACTCTTGCAAGGGACCCAAGTTCAGTTCCCAGCACTCAACTCACAACAAACTCCCTGAGAACCGAAGATTCTGACTTCCAAGGGCACCTACACACACACACACACACACACACACACACACACACACACACACACACACACACACACAATTTTTTTGTTGTTGTTGTTTTGTGTTTTTAATCTTTGGGGCTAGAGAGCTGGTTAAGAGCACTTACTGTACCAGAGGACCTGAGTGGAGTTCCCTGCACCCAGGTCAGGAGGCTCAAAATCTTTATGGGCTTTTAAGCCGGCCATGGTGGTTATGAGGCAGAGGCAGGATTGCCACAAGTTTGAGTTCAGTGTGCTCTACATAGTAGATCCCAGGTCAGTCCATCTCCATAGTGAGAGTCCATCTCTACCCCTGTCACTACCAAGAAAAGTGTAATGGCGGTGTTCACCCTAGCTTTGGCCAGACAGCTCCTGTTAGCATGGCTGTCACACTTTCTCCCAGCCAGTCTGATCCCTCGGTGGCTCACCTATCCTTGTCCTCTACATGGAAGCTGTAGGATTTATTCAAGTAATATCTACTTCAAGAATGACTTTCCTGGTTCCTGGGAAGCAAAAGCAAGTGGATTTCTGTGAGTTTCTGGCTAGCCAGGGCTACCCCTGCTAAGAATGACTTCTTGACAACCCTACTTTACAGTCCCCTCATTATATCTTCTCAAAGGCTGCATCAACAGGAGCTAAGGTGCTGTGAGCAATGGGCACTGTCCGGATTGCTGCATCTGGCCTGATCCTAAGCCAAGCCCCAGTCACAGATGTAGGCAGTTGAGGATGGTGGAGTTGCTCCTAGGTAAGGAGCCAGAACACTGGCTTCAGGATTCACTCAGCCCACCACGGCCTGGTTGCTAACATTTCATTATCCCTAGTGCCTATCACAGAGTATGTCTCCAGTAACAGTTGGGAGGTGATGCTGAGTCCGTGGCTTTGGCTTGCTGCTGAAAGGCTGAGGCAGTGTTTGTCTAGAGTAGGCATCAGTGCGAGGCCAGGGAGGGGTGACTAAGGCAAGGGATGGCCCCTCAGCCTGCATGTGATTTAGGGAAAGGGGAGTGCATGAATTGGGAGTGGGAAAGATCTCAAATGTCAGAAAAGAAATGTCATCAACAGCGAAGAAAATAGGAGCCATTGAAGGGTCTTGGCTAAAAGGGATGCGGTGACCATAAGAATGAGCATTTTGAGGGCCCCATTCCAGTACAGAGTGCAGCCTGATGAAGCTGCTGTGTCACTGTCTGAGCTGTGTGTTGTGAAGATACAAGACAGAGAAGAGGTGGGCTGTGGGAGTACACATCATTAAAGGCCTCACTACCCCAGCCTCAGATTCCTATTGCTAAGACTCCAGATTCATAGCGACACCTTTTGGACCTTGTTACTCCAAGACAGCAGTGCAGCTGCCTGGGTCCTGGCCTCCTCCAGTACTCTCTGTTCACTCTCTCCCTTTTGCGGCTTTTCTGCCCCACCACTTCCCCATCCACTAAGATCCCCTGCTTATACTTGAAAGACTCAAACCAAGTCCCTGTCTCCTAGAGGACTCCCAGCAGGATAGATACTCCCTCCACCTGCAGTGTCCTCTCTAGCAGTTCTGAGCCTTCAGCAAGGGAGCAAGGATACTCTAAAATAGAGTTAGTTGCACCTGGTAGCAAAGGCCTCTAATACCAGCATCTCAGGAGGTTGAGGCAGGGGAATCAAAAGTTCAAGGCCTGCATTGAAAACTTACTGAGATCCTGTCACCTAACTGAAAGTTAAAACCGAAGTCGGACATGGCAGTGCACAGTGAGGCAGAAGGATCACCCAAGTGTCACACTGTCTGCAGACTAAGGTAAAACATGAAGAGGCTGAGGCTGTAGCTCTGTAGAACAGCGCTTGTGTAACATGTGAGGTCCTGGATTCAATCACCAGTGCTTCTGAAGAATACAAATAATGACCCCAACACTTGAAAGGCAGAGGCAGGCAGATCTCTTGAGTTCAAGCTACATAGTGAAGACCCTTTCTAAAAACAAAAGCCTCAAGGCCAGGTCTAAGTGTAGGCCTATGTCCCAGCACTTAGGAAGCTGAGGCAGGAAGAGCTTAGCAAATTCAAGGCTTATCTGAAGACCTTGTGTCTCTCAGAAGTGAACTCAGAGTGTGAATAGTCAGATTCTGAATGTTCCCCTTCTGAGGAGACTGCCCTGGAACTCGCTCTGTAGACCAGACTGGCCTCGAACTCAGAGATCCACCTGCCTCTGCCTCCTGAGTGTTGGTATTAAAGATGTGTGCCACCACTGCCTGGCGGTTTGAAGCATCTTAAGATAATGGGGCCAGGTGTGGTGGCAAGAAAAGCACAACTTCCAAGCTAGCCTGGGCTACTTACAAAGTAAAATCTTGTCTCAAAAACAAAGCAAGGGGCTGGTGAGATAGCTGTCAGTAAAGTTTTTAAGAAGACCTGAGGTCAGTCCCCAGACTCTTATTTTTAAAAAGCCAGGTGAGGTTGAGCCCTCATTACTGGGGAAGTAGAGACAGATGGATCCCTGGGGCTTATTGGCCAACCAGCAAAACCTCAGCATGATTTGGTTCATTGAGACATTGTCTTTAAAAAAAAAAAAAAGTACCACCACCTGAGGAACCACACGTGAGGTTGTCCTCTGGCCAGTATACATACATACTACACAGATACACAGACAGTGATGTGTTTTTTTTCCATTTGTTCTTCTGTGGAGCCCAAGGCTTGTCCACTACAAGAATGTCTACTGCAACTCATGCCTGTAGTTTTGAGAGCCTGTTATTACTGTTGGTGGGGATGCTGCCACACAGGACTGACCGCAGGGATCATTCCTCCCAGACTGGTTCCTTCTCTAAGGAGACACTGAAACCACAGTGTGGGCAACAAACTTCTCCAAGGAGCCCCAGGGCCCATAGGGAACAGATACTGGCAGCACATTCTGGAGCCTGCTGGGTTCAGATGCTGGCCCCAAAGCATTCAGGCCTCTTGGTTGAGGCCCCAAAGGAGAACCACAGAAAAGACCCTGCCTGCAGGCCATCTCTGTACTCCTGCCAGCAGAGATGTTTTTCTGGCTATACCCCAGCACCCAGCAAGGATCTGGCAGTCAGGCACACGGGGACATGAATGAAGCAGCTCTCAGACCCTGGCCACCAGCCTTGGCTTCAGATCTACTGCAGCCTCCAGAATGAAGCTCTTTTAAGGGCCCTGCCTCCCCAGCTGCACCCTCTGCCTTCTTCCTTCCCCCTGGTCTCAGTATCCCTCTTGTTTGGCTTCCCTTGGTTGACTGGAGTTGGGTATCCCTGCCGCTCAGAGCTTGGGATCCCCACATGTGAGACAGGTGACATCCATTCCATGCTCATGTGATACCATATGCCTCCTGTAGAGCATCACTTGAGGAGTCCACATTAGTTACTTCTCAGTCTTGTTCTGTAGGAGTCCTCCGCCCTGCAATGGCTGCTAGGAAGGACTCCTGGGTATGCTATTTGGAGACAGTGATGAGGACAGGCTTGCTTGGCAGGTCCTGGCATGAGATAGGTCCACTCAGGAATCCAGCCAAGCAGGCTGTTTGGAACACCTGGAAGGCTCTGTAGGGTGAAGCTGAGCTTGGACCATATCCTTTCTCCTTTCCCTTCCATGCAGGGCTCTGGAAGCAAGATCTGGGGTATAGCCTTGAGCTGAGAATGATGATGAAGCTCCCTCATTCTGTGAGGCAGCTTCAGCGAGGGACCAACTGCAACTTCCTTCCCTGAGTTTCGCATCAATGTGGCCAGGAAAGCCTGGCCTTGCCAAGAGAGAGAAGAGAGACAGACAGACAGACAGACAGACAGATAGACAGAGGCAACACCACAGATGACCACCAACTTTATTGCCTCTGCCCAAATTATTGCTACTCTGCAAGGTCTTCTTACGACTCTCATAGTGCCCTGAGATGCCGATGGGTGGGGTGAGGTCATGCAAATGATATGCAGGTAACATGCAAACCAACCCAGGATCCCCCAGAGGGCTCTGGCACAGCCACTGATGCTAGAAATTCTAGGGCTGACCCAGAAGGGTGATAGACACCCAGGTTTCTACTCTACACCACAGACTATGAGTTGGCCTAGCCTCAGGGGTCAAGGTTCCAGGGTTTGAGAGGGGTCCCTGAGCATCAGCCCTGGTTCTGCCACTGGTTGAGGAAGAACAGAAACCTAACCCCAGAACAGCAAGGAAAAGCAGGACACCCCTAGGCAGCCAGAGAGGGAGGGGATCTGCCTGGGACACAGAGCAAGGCAGAGAATAAAGGGACCAGAATCTGGACTTCCTGAGTCAGTCAGAAGCCCAGGTGCTTGGAAGCTACAAACATTAAAATAAACAAGCAAGCAGCCCCGTCCCTGATCCCTGTGCTGACACCCTCTACCAGCTGACCAGGCTAAGGCCTGGGAACAGGCAGGTTCCTTGGTCTTAGTGTAGAGTTGGCCAATGCAGGAGGCTCTAGAATGATAGGCGGGGCTGGAGAGTCACCAGCTTAAGCAGACCCGACTCAGTTATTATTCACAATCCACCAGGAGGCTGTGGGTGAGAGATTGGGGGGTCAGGAGCTGGGGGGGGCTGCCCCTCATGGGCCCCAGGGCTGTTTGGAGCACAGGGATACAGCGCACCTGGGAAGAACACAGTGGTGAGGGTGTCCGGGACCTGCAGGTGATCAATGAGGGTACGCTGGAAGGCCTTGCTGCAGGGCGACTGCTGGTGCCTGAGAGAGCCACAGAATAGACAGAGGCTGCAGCCATCTGCTCTAAGATCAGTGCTCTGGGTTACCCAAGATTAGTCCTGCTGCCTGGACTCAGGCACCAATCCTTCCTCTACTACTTTTAGCCTCAGTCTTCCTCCTCAATAAAATGGGAACAAGGCACCTACATCACTAGACTGCTGCAAGGAGTAAATGAAGGCACCTAGCACAGGGTCATCCACTTGACGATAGTATATATTCATTGAGTGCCTCCTGTGCACCTGGCATTGTATTGAGTTTTTTGAGTTTGTGTTAGACAGGGCCTTGCTATATAGTCCACACTGGCCTTAAATCATTGATCCTCCTGCCTCTGCCTTACAACTTCTGGGGTTTTAGGTTTGTGCCACCATGGCCAACTTGTGTTATTCTATATGTCTGTTTGTCTGTTTGTTTGTTTGTTTTTGAGACAGGGCTGTGCTGAATTTGCTGTGTAGCCCAATCTGGCCTTGAACTTTTGAGCTCTCTTGCCTCTACCTTTCAGTGTTGATATAACAGGCATGCACTGGATACCTAATTTGCATTCATTCTTTACAAATCATCTCATCTGGGACCCAGATATGTTAGGTCAGTTATCTGAAGTCACACAGCCAGTGGACAGGAGAGTAGGACTTGAACCTGGTCCAGACACTTCCAGAACCCATACTCAGTGTCAGACATTAAACCACCACTCACCTTCTCCAGGAGGCTTCATCCTGCCAAAACTCATAGAGGGTGAAGGTAGCATGGTCTAGCATCTTCTCAGCAGACACACTGAAGAGCCAAAGAGGTAGCCAGGTTGTGACCACCACTGCCTACCTGCCAGTGGTCTTGTGGGAGCTCTGCCCGGAGTACCCAGCCCACCATCCCTCCCTGCTCACCCCTCCCCACCTCAGCCATCTCACTAGCTAGCCAGGGACTCACTGCAGACAATGGCTCTGGGCCCCTGTCAAGTTCATGTAGCAGCACAGGGCACGGTGAAAATCCGGCAGGGCGTCCTTTGCCACCTGTACTTGCCTTTGTGCCACAAGGATGTGCTGGCAAGAGAGCAGCTCGTCACTGGGGTAGGCTAGGCCCAGAGTATAACTTCACCCTTCCTAATATGGTTCAGATCGCCCCCTGTGGGGGGAGGTCCCCACAGCCCACAAGGCCTCCCAGCATCTCTGACTCCATCCTCCAAGCCATTGACCATTTACCCTCTCTGCTTACCACCTCCCACTCTGCCCTCTAGCTTCCATCCCTACTTCAGACCTGACTGTCAGAGAGACAGATCGGAGAACAGAAAACCCAAGAGGGTCACAGAGCAAGAAGCAGAACCCAGCACCTGCCTACCAGGTCTGAGTAGACAGCCATTACCCTTCTTCGTGAGTACTCCGTCCCGAGCTCACCGAGTCAGGACCCTTGGCACAGTCCTCTTCATGCAGGGGTTCCAGCCGGGGTGCCTGCAAGGGACAAGAATATAGGCCGAGCCTCTAACATGTATTGGTTTGAGCAAGTGCCACAGAAATCCCCTCTCAGGGGCACTGGCCGCCCAGCTGCTTACCTTGCATTCAAGCTGGTCTATGAGCTCCTGGAGGCGGTTGACCTGCAGCCGCCACTGCAGCTCAGCCTCTGAATTCCACCCTGACAGGGGACCAGGAGGACATCAGCCAGGGGCCCCTGAACCTGGGAGTCCTCTCAGGGTAAACTGGGAACAGTGGCAGAGCAAAGCCTTGAGAGAATAGGAGATTCAACGTGTTCCCCGGACCCTATGCAGCCTGCTACAAGCACACCTGTATCGAAGGATCCAGGAGAGCAGGTTGGTGACCAGCTTATGCTCCTCAGGGCTCTGCGTCCTGCCCGCCTGCTGCCACGGAACCTCCTCTGCACCTCCATATTTTCTTCATCCAACCTAGAAAGTAGAAGTTCATAGGCTCAAGGACTAGGATTCCAGCACAAGACCAAGCTTAGGTGGGGCAAGACAGGTTTCCTGGGTCTCTGAAGCCCAGCCCTCAAACCACCCATCCCTTCTCAACAGCTCACGGCCTCCCTGTCCAAGAATGTAGCCTCCAGAAGGCTGAGTGGATCGTGACACTGAGGAGTTTGGAATGCAAGAATAAAAGGCACTCAGACCCCGGACCAAAGGTCAACATCGCTCACGTACCGCTGACCACGGGCCTGGGCCTCCAGGGTGTCTGATGCCCCCTCCAAGGAGCTCTGCAGGGCTTGTAGCTGATTCACAGTCTCTCGAAGCAGGAACCGTGTGACAAACTGGTCCACCTTGGAGGCCTGTTCATACTCCTGTGGGCAGGGCAGAGAGGTGTGGCTGAAGGAGGAGCTTACCTTGCTGTCTGCCTGTGCCTTGCTTGAGAGAGCAACAGGGAATGTGAAAGGTGTAGAGCATGCAGGCCCTGCACAGGCTGGTCACTCACACTCTAGTTTTGTTTTGAGACAGAGTGTTACCTTGTATTCAGGCTGGCCTTGAATTCATGATCCTCCTGCCTATGCTTCCCCAGTGCCTGCCTTCCGAGGGCCCCCTTCCTGGTCCAGGCTGGGTGTTTTTGTTTTGTTTTGTTTTTCCCCATCCTAGCAGATTTGAAGCTGAGTTATAAGGGTCACAACCCACTGGTACACTGGTTTTCCTGGGTCTCAATTTCTCTTCTTTGTTAAGGCTCATCCTCATCTTTGCCACAGCCAGTGAGGCTCCTGGGCACAGCCAGGCAGGGTAAAGGTGCGGAACTGTATGGCCAATTTTACACTTGGTGCAAAATGATGTGTGGTATGGCCTCTTACCGACCTGTTGGACCCAAACTTAAATCTACATATGCATTTGTTTGTTCTTTCATTATTCCATTCACCAATCTGTGTAACCAACATTTACTGCATGGACTTTGTGAGACATTACATATACAAGACATCCAGGTTACTAAAGAGGCACAAACATACTCCAGCCTACACTACCAGCCTCCCCTTGATTCCTTTAAGGTAAGCAGGGACAGGGAGAATTTTGTTTCATCTGTGGGGGGATGCATTTTTATTTTTTGAGACAGGGTTTCTCTGTAGTTTAGAGCTTGTCTGTAGACCAGACTGACCTCGAACTCACAGAGACTCACCTGCCTCTGCCTCCTGAGTACTGGGATTAAAGGCGTGTGCCACCACCACCCAGAGCAGAGACAGGTTGACTGACTAAGCTTCAGGCCCTGTGCTGACATCTTGGGATACTCTCACTCCTCCAGCTGCTTTTGCCTTGTGCCTCCGTTTTCCCACCGTACCGAGTTGAGGTTCCCCTCGGTTACTTGCTACATAGGGCTAAGCCTAGTGCCTGCAGTCAGAGTTCTCAGTCTAGAAATGCAACCACTGTTGTGGAACATACCATTAGTAATCTGCCCAGCTACACACCTGGACAGTCAGGATGCCCTTAGAAGCCCGCACCCCCACCACACACCCAGACCTAAGATGCTGGAAGTCCTGGGGAGCCATGAAGACCAGGCTCCACAGCAACTTCTATCATAGGCTCTTGTCTGTCACCTGCCTTGGCTCAACCAAGATGGTACCTTCTGAACCAGGCTTGTAACAAATGGGACAGAATAGTGCCTGATTCCTGTCGTGAAGTTTGTGGGTTCTGTTTCCATGACATCTCTTCAGTTACTTCCCTTTGGAGGTATAAGGTAACTGATCAGTTTTCTGCTGTTTGCAAGCAAAAACCCTGGTTGGCAGAACCACCCACCCCGTACCAGCCTCATCCCAAGAATTTCATTTAACCATTATAATTTGTAAGAACTATAGTTGATTCCACTTCATATCTGGGGCCGAGAGCTTAACCAAGGTTAAGCACCTAATCGGTGGCAGGGCAGGATTCAAATTAAAGCCACAGAAATTCCCCTCTACTTACCTTTAAGCACCTTATAGGTGCTTTGTTAAAGCACTAGCCCTGTTTCACAGTTGGGAATTAGAGACCAGAAGAGGTCATAGACGGTGAATAGAGGCCAGATTCTCAGGGGAGGAGCACAGCTTTGGTGTGGTGAGGTCACTTGTGAGCTCACAATGCAGTTCACTTAGTGGGGCGGGGCCAAACGGCACCCCTGGGTAGAGGGCAGGGCCGAGGCAGCATGGGCAGTGGCCTCTAGTGACCAGTCCTACCATGGGAAACAGCAGTTCCCACAAGAGAATCAAAGCACCCAGTCAGGCCAGCAAGGACGGGCCGCCTGACATGGACAAGGCCCGTCACAAGCAGTTCTTCAGCCACCTCAAGCGGAAGAAGCCAAGTGTGAGTATGGGGATGCCCGGGGGAGGCTGGATGCTGGGGTCTCCACCTTTAGAGCCAGAGGCATGAGAGGGGTTAGAGAATCTCTTTAGAGGAGGAGGGTCCCTGAAGCCCACACAGGTGGTATAAGGGACCCAGAAGCAAGGGCTCTTTTTAACCAGGGGGCAGGCTGGGGGCCACAGACATGGAATATCCTTTACCCCCTCTCTCCAGCCCACAGCCTCACAACACATCACTTTCCCCTTCTTTCAATGGCGAGAGGCCCCTGATTCCGCCCGGGTGGGTGAGAATCCCCGCATCAAGGCTGGGAAAGTACGCAGTGGATCGGCCTAGGGTGGACGATGGGTTCCTGTGAGGAGGCAGGGTCCCGCCCGGGGTGTGGGTTGAGCGGCCCTGATGGCACCGTGGGGTTTGGGAGGTTGGGTCCTCCAGATGCGCGGGAGTGGCTTCATGCCCTGCTCGGGCGCGTTCTTTCCCTCACAACGCGCCCACCCCCAGACCAAGATCGTACTGCTTTTCCCGCTGGACAAGCGGCAGCAGCTGGCCGAGGCAGC